TCTTATCCCTCTACTACTGTTTATCACTCTCCATTTGAACTAATCTTTACTGACTTGTGGGGACCAGCTCCTATGGTCTCATTTGATGGATATTCTTACTACATTTCCTTCATTGATGCCTTTACTAGGTATACTTGGATATATTTTCTTAAAAAGAAATCGGATGCTCTCTTAGCTTTTCAGAACTTCTATCAATATGTGCTAAATCAGTTTCATGTCTCTATTAAGTCAATACAATCTGATTGGGGTGGTGAATTCAGATCCTTTACACAATTCTTGAATGAAAAAGGCATTACTCATAGGGTTATTTGTCCTCACACACACCATCAAAATGGTGTTGTGGAAAGAAAGCATCGCACAATTGTTGAAAAAGGGTTATGTCTTCTTTCTCATTCCTTTTTACCCTTAAAATTCTGGGACACTGCTTTTGCTACTACTGTTCATCTAACAAACAGAACCCCATCCAAATCCATTTCTAATCTCAGCCCCTTTTTTAAACTGTATGGATCTATTCCTGATTATTCCTTTCTAAAGGTGTTTGGCTGTGCTTGTTATCCTTTCCTTCGCCCTTACAATAAACATAAATTGGATTATCACTCAAAAGAGTGTGTGTTTCTGGGCTACTCCTCTCACCACAAAGGCTACAAGTGCCTATCTCCTTGTGGAAAAATCTACATCTCTAGAGATGTAGTTTTTGATGAGACAAAATTTCCTTATCCTAAACTTTTTCCCACCATAACAAATCAAGCCTCTACAGTCCCAGTTCAATCATCTGCACCCATCACTATTGTTCAATCTTCTTTAACTACCAATTGTCCCAATGGTATTACTTCATCCACCACATCCTCCAATCCTTCTACTAACATACCATCCATCTCCTCCTCTGATCATCAAATTTCTAACCAATCTGAGTCCTCATCTCCAGTTAACTCTCAAACTGCTCATCAACATTCTGACCATCCTGGGTCCCCATCCCCAGTCAACTCCCAATCTTCCCATTCCTGTAATCAATAGTCATCCAATGCAAACTAGGTCCAAATCTGGGATTGTCAAACCTAGACTTAATCCAACCTTACTATTAGCTCATGTTGAGCCCAAATCAGTTAAGCAGGCTCTATCCTCTCCACCTTGGCTTGCAGCAATGCAAGCTGAATATGATGCTTTAATGGCTAACCACACTTGGTCTTTAGTATCTCTTCCTCCAGGAAAACAAGCTATAGGCTGCAAATGGGTGTTTAGAATTAAAGAAAATTCAGATGGTTCTGTGAATAAGTTCAAAGCAAGGCTGGTTGCCAAGGGTTTTCATCAGAGATATGGCTTTGATTTTGGAGAGACATTCTCTCCAGTAGTCAAACTAGTCACTATCAGAATCCTTTTGACATTGGCAGTCTCTCATCAGTGGTCTATTCAGCAAATTGATGTTAACAATGCCTTCCTCAATGGGGATCTTGAGGAAGAAGTATACATGCAACAACCCCCAGGTTTCCAAAACAAAGACAATTCCCTAGTTTGCAGACTACACAAGTCACTGTATGGTTTAAAACAAGCTCCAAGAGCTTGGTTCCACAAACTCACTTCTGTCCTATATCAAGCTGGGTTCAAGCAAAGTAAATGTGATCCTTCCCTACTTATTCTCTTAACTTCTGAGATTCAGATCTATATTCTCATCTATGTAGATGACATTCTAGTTATTGGAAACAATTCCACTGTCATTCAGCAAATCATTCAGAAACTTCATTCTTCATTTTCTCTCAAAAATCTTGGGGATATTGATTACTTCTTGGGCATTGAAGTCAGAAGACTTCCTGGTGGTTGCTTACATTTATCTCAAGCCAAGTATATTAGAGACCTTTTACACAAAGTTGGAATGACAGACTCCAAGGGAGTAAAAACACCTATGGTAAGCAGCTGTAAACTTACCACTGAAGGAAGTGATTATCTTACTGATCCATCCTATTATAGATCTGTTGTGGGTATCCTTCAATATGCTACTTTGACCAGGCCTGAACTGAGCTACTCTGTTAACAAAGTCTGCCAGTTTATGGCTGCACCTCAGCAGGAACATTGGAAAGCTGTAAAACATATTTTGAGATATCTGTCTGGTACCATTACTTATGGTTTAGTCATCAAACCTCTACCTCTATCCACATCACCTTTACCCGTTCTAGCCTTTTGTGATGCTGACTGGGCATCAGATCCCACAGACAGAAAATCCACATCTGGATCTTGTATTTTTCTAGGCCCCAACATCATTTCTTGGTGGTCTAGAAAACAAGTGAGGGTTGCCAGGTCCTTAGCTGAAGCAGAGTACAGAAGCCTTGCTGACACTGCATCTGAGGTTTTATGGGTTCAATACCTACTCAGAGAACTTCAAGCTCCATCTGTCACTCCCAGAATCTATTGTGACAATCTAAGCACAGTACAACTTGCCCACAATCCTGTTCTACACTCTCGCATCAAACACTTGGAAATTGATCTCTTTTTTGTTAGAGAGAAAGTCAGACTCAAGCAGCTTGAAGTCTTTCACATTCCAGCTCCTCAACAAGTTGCAGATGTGCTGACCAAACCTATATCTGCTTCTACCTTTCTTGAGTTCAGAAACAAACTCAGTGTGATTGACCTTCCAAAGCAATCACCCTCAGTTTGAGGGGGGAATGTTAGGAATAGTATATAGACTACATTTCTTTGTATTGTTACAAGGTGTTTGACTTCTTTGTACTGTACTCTCGGTTGTTTAGTCTGTTAAGGCTATCAACTATAAATACTCTGTAACTACTCTTCCAGAATAAGATGATTTCATTTTCCATTCTATTACTTTGCTTGAACTCTAATAATCCCCATTGCAAGGAAAAATGCATTTGCGCCATTGATGTCGCCATGCACCAGGACTAATTGACAACTATGGCGCAAGGCATTGATGATCTTACTATACCAGATTGTATCACGACTTTGTGAGAAGGATCCAAATGACATAAGTTAAAGAGACTCTGAGAATGATGAGGTGGAAGAAAGCAATGGGTCTAGATGACATACCGATCGAGGCCTGGAGAAGTTTGGGAGAGAAAGGCATCGAGTGGCTGACACATTTCTTCAATATGATTTGGAGAAACAACAAATGTCAGTGAATTGGCGGAAGAGTACTCTCATTCCTCTATTTAAAAATAAGAGTGATGTACAAGAATGTACCAACTATCGAAAGATTAACCTTTTAAGTCACTACATGAAGCTCCCAAGAGTTTCAGACTGAGTCGAAGCAAGATTGAGTATAGAGAGTGTAAGTCTGGTGGAGGTAGAAGTAGTGGTTACAGCGGGATTACTTTTGATGACAACTGACAAGGAGATACCAGTAGTGATATGTTCTGCTACTTGGGCTACATAATGCATAAGATTGATGAATTAGATAGACTTGTATCCCTTAGAATCAGAGCACAGTGGATGAAATGGATGAAACGGAAGAGTGCATCAGGATTTCTATGCGATCAAGGTATGCTGACTAGCCTGCAGGGTAAATTTTACTCCCTCAGTCCCAAATTGTATGATACATTTACTATTCACTTGGTCAACACAAATCACTCTTAATCTTTTATTTTATATATCAAACGTTTATGAAATTTGAATTATTTTTTGCAGGTTTTGTAGTGGTTTTAATGTAGTTTCTAAATATGTAAATTTTATTTTCTAGAACTAATTTGAGTGTTGACAGAGATCAATTTGCTTTATCGTCAGTCAAACATCGTAAACCGTAATGTATCTTACAAATTGGGACGGAGGGAGTATTAGAGAGCAATTAGGCTTGCATTAATGTATGGCGTGGAGTGTTAGGCGGTTAAACAAAGTCACATTCAAAAGATGAGTGAGGCAGAGATGCACATTTTACGTTGGAGGTGTGGACAGACCAAAAACGACCGCTTGAGAAATGAAATCATTAGACAAAAGGTGAGAGTAACACCTATAGAAGATAAGATAAGATGCAAGAGTCTCAATTGTGTTGGTTTGGTCACGTGCACACAATCCGAAGTTATCAGGACACGCGATGCAATTTCTACGGTGCCTATCTGTGTTTACTATCACGTTTCTTTAGACCACCACTTGAAATATGTCTGGCAACTTAACAAGGAACGCTAGAAACAAAGACTTTCCTTCCCCTCACCTTATTTTAGGGTTATGTTTTCTACTTCGTGTACCTGCAGCTACCTTTCATTTTTCTTATAGGGATCTGTGTAGGTATGGAGTGTTCAGGCATTTTAGTTTTCGACTCTATCAATTGGTCTTAGTGGTCATTCTATTTTCCACCTTCTCTGTCAAATATGTACATATATCATAAATCATAAAATATATACATAGCAATTAGCGAGAATGGTCCATGTCTAGAATTACAATGGGCCTTATTGTGGGCAATAGCGACACTATAGTTTTCCATCCAGGGTTCATATATATTCAACACGCCCCAAACACTTTACTGTTTCTCTTCCACTGTCAAATAAAATCTAATATCAAGGAAAATATGCATAGCAATTAGCAAGAATGATCCACATCATTATCAAGTATTATGATAGGCCTTATGTATGATATAGTGACACTAGAGTTTTTTTTTAACTAGGATTAAATGTATTCGCCCCCCAACACTTGACTAAGAAACTTGAAAGGATAATAAATCCCCAATTCATAAGATGCATTTGTATAAGATAAAAATGCCAAAGAAGGGGTTTGGATATTAGGACACTCTGACGGTAAAAGTGCCAAGGGACATAGCCGAACAGATCCTTAAAATATAGGACAAAACTAAGAAACTTAATGTGAAAATAGCTTCTACTCGCTACACTTTATCAAATTATACAAAACAAACAACAAAAGAGGAGCCACTTTGGGGTGGGGGGCATGAGACAATCATGCATGTGCTGCTAAATGGGGCACATTTTCGCGGCAATACCGTGGTAAGTACAGTTCAAGTAATACATAGGCAAAAGCTGATATTATGCTTCAAGAAGAGACACACTAACCTTTGATCGAGATTGAACAGCAGGGTCTGAACTTCGAGAGAGAAGGCGTGCCAGTGGAAGCATCTCTGAAATCTCAGCTTTTGGAACCTCTAGTCTCATTCGCCATCTTCCCATGGAAGATATTACACTACCTAGATGGCCCGTCATTGCCCTATGAAATAAACTACCTCCATCCTTTCCAGATGAGCTTCGGTCTCGGGATCCAGGCAATACGTATTCACCCTGAAGCTCATACTTGCTGTTGCTTTGTTCCAAAATAGTTTTCTCAATGGTAATCTACACAAAAATGCCAACAAGCAATCTATGGTTAGATTTCATAAAGGGAGCGTGCCACTCATATAGTCATACTACATTTATTTCTACAATTACAGTACTAGACAACCATGAGTTATTTCCCGGAGAGGGGTACTTTGAAATCTTATTTCTCAAAGTACGGTAGTTTTAAACCTATTTCTCAAATAGGGGTAATTTTTCCCAGGCCATGTGATCACCCACCTTAATTTCCATTTCCACATGACTGAACCGCCACATAACATTTCCATGTCATCACAAAGACTAAATATAATCCGTTTGAAGTAAGAAAAAAGTTGGGGCTGGGGAGATTCGAACCCACGCCCGGGCATATAGAATTCTATGTTCTAACCGCTGCACCACACACGCTGCTTGTCACAATCTGGGATTTACTTCTACTTATATTGATATTGTTCCATGCATGTTTAATTAAAACTAAAGTCTCCTCCATATTATTATTATTATTATTAGGGTTGGGGTTGGGGTGTGGGTTGGGGTTGGGGTTGGGGTTAGGGGTTAGGGGTTAGGGTTAGGGGTTAGGGTTAGGGGTTAGGGGTTAGGGCTAGGGCTAGGTCTAGGGCTAGAGTTAGGGTTATTAGGGTTATTAGAGTTATTAGGGTTATTAGGGTTAAACGGCTATATAGCTTAAATAAATATGAGCGGACAAGTTAATAACCTAGATTATTGTTTTTTAAGTACGTAGCACTTTCAGTTCAAAAACAAAAAGTACGTAGCACTTTCATAGGTATTATGTGGCTGCGTAATTATAGTTAGCATACATAACCATTGGTTCTTATCCTTTTAAATAAGTTAGTTAGGCTAATTGTTTTATTTATACAAATATATGACAAAATTTAACAACACTTATTTAAGAGTTTTTTCCCAGAATAATGCTAATTAAATAAATAATTCCCAAAATACTGTTGGGTTAAGAATAATTCCGGAAATACTGCTGGGTTAACCATGGTTAAGCAAAGCCGCCACTCGGACTGGCGGCTCTTCATCTATCTTCACAAAAGCCGCCACTCGGACTGGCGGCTCTTCTATAGTATTACAAAAGCCGCCACTTCGAGTGGCGGCTCATTAATCCGTAGACATATCCCCTTTCTTCCCAGGCGACGAACGAATCTGACCTCCCTCTGCAGCAATCGACGAACGCCAACAGCACGAACAAAGTGCCCCGATTCCGGCCAGATCTCGTCCAAACGAAGCTCAAATCAAAGGGAAAAGGCTCGTGGTGTACCCGAGGTCGTTTGTACTCCATTCTAGAGACTTTCTACTGTTTGAATAGAGGTATTCCACCATTTTTGCTAAACCTAGGTTTTTTGATTGGTTGTTCGAAATTACTTGTTTTTTTAATTATTTTCTTTGTATTTGATGTTGTGAAATATATAAGTTCTTAATCTTGTTATTATGATTGAATTTATATAATTTGTAAAATTTGAATTATACCAACTTTCACCATTTTTGCTAAAGCTAGGTTTTTTAGTTAATGCTCGAAATTGCTTGAAATTGTTATTGTTTTGTTCAAAATTGTTGTTGATTTGCTCGAAGTTGTTGTTGTTTACTTGTTTATTAACGGATTTTGCTTTTCTTTTACTAATTAACTAGTGCTAATTAATCATGTGTTAATTTGTTGCTTTTCCATTACTCTATTTTTTTCACTGGTTAATTATTATGAGTCCTAATTTAATGGTATGAAATCGTAATATGTATCTACGATCTAATACTTTTCGTTTGAATTATAGTAATTGTAGTTGAATTTTCAAATAGCGGCATACGTCATACTTTTTTGGAATGATTTTTTCGTAGAATATGTCTAGAAACTTCTCCATTGTTTGTCAATGGGGAGGAAATAGAGGAGTCAAACGGAATTCATTATGAAGGAGGGATTCGGAAGATAATTGTTGTTTCCCGTGGGGTGGATCTTGCTGAAATAATGAATAAAATTTATGCTGCCACATCAATCAATCGTATGAACAAGTTGGATTTGAAGGTTAAATATCCCATGCATGGTGGATCATACATGTTGATGCCTCTTGCTGACGACGAAGCCGTTACAGGAATGTGGACTGTAATCGAGAATCTTGATATGCATACCATGGAGATATATGTTGAAGAAGTGGCGGTGTTGCCCATACAACCTGGCCACACGTCATTGTCTTGCCCATCCACAAGTGTTCCAGTTGTGATGAATATGGTTACACAGGAGAATGGAAGATACGTGAATACTGAATAGTGATTCAACGTTTCTGGATTCACAGTGCAATGACGACGATGCAGATGAAAATGTGAACCATTCCTTCTATTTATTCTTTCCCAAAGAGGAATCTACTACTTGTTTGGCCCAGCCCGCTATTTCATTTTATTAAAATATTAAGCCCAAAAGTCCATGTCTCTATCATAACATGATACATTACTAACATGAGGATTCAAACAAAAGACACCACTGCTTCAAAAAAGTAAGATTTCCCACTTCCAACAAGCAAGGATCATGCAGATCAATCTCATTTATCTTTAACTTAAGCAAAAAAGAGCGGGAAAGATGGTATTCAAATACATACTTTGTATATAATAAGTTCATTTATAAAAGTTGCCCCCAAAATGTACAGTGCTAATATTCTGATTATGATAACAAAAACTGAGCAAATATAAACAATTAAAGTTGAAGACTTGTTAATTACTCACTAATCCCACTACCTTTGTCTCATCTTTCCTTTTCTGTCTGTGTGATTAATTCTTACTTTATCCATACTTTACAAATTATTAACAGCCACACAATTACACCATTCATAAAAATTGTGCAGCTTCCTCATGACTTAATTTTAGAGGGACGGGAGTAGTTTAAAATAATTAAATAGTTCCTCGATGTGAAAAATTATAATCCTCAAGTTTATTTTTTCAAAAAGAAGAAAATAATACACTGGAAGAAGGGTTTAGATACTCACTACATCTCCACTCCATCTAGCGGCCACATCTAGAGCTTCACCCAACATCCCACTAAACTTTGGACGCAGAACTGACAGCAAACCATGACCTCTTCGTTTCTGGAAATTAAGCTGAAGTTCTGCCTGAAATCAAGGAAGCTGAGTTGAGGTTATGCCTGAAATCAAGGATACTTTTTTACTCTGAAAACATAAGATACAGCAAAGGAACATATCAAATCAGGAATTGTGCTGAATTCTTTGGCAATTATCAAAGGGTTTGGAAAGGAGATGAAGCAAAAAAATGTGAACGGCAATCCACATAGCTCCCCGCATGAAAAGAAAAGTTCAATCTCAAGCCACACTACAACACTTAAACTTATGCAAAAACAAGTCATGATATAGTTTTCCATAAATCAACAACAAAATTGAAGCTCAATGTCAAACCACTAAGGCCATTTGTCATATCTTAATCTTCCCATCTTTTTTGCAATGTAACATGTGATCCTAAATCCCTAAACATTAATGTTTTTTGCGCATCATTTCATGTCATTTTCTATCTGCCACTACTCATTTTCAAATCTTCAAACTGACAAATATGATCTTAACCGGCCTTTTTTATTAAGTCAAGATACAAAGTTCTAAAGAAGCCACTTGAAAAGTTCAACTGTTCCAGAGGCCATGTTACTTCAGAAAAGTATTCTTACTGGTAGGCTCAATATTCTTCCAGAAGTACATGAAATAACTGTGTCCTCCAATAGGGACTAACTAAATTCGGATATCAAATTTGAGAATTCCTGGAAAGGTCTCTATGCTAATTACTTCTTTCAAATTGACCATGTTATCAACAACATAGAATCAAGAAACGTCATTAGTATAGCGGCTTTCCATCAAAAGAGCATAGAATCTTGATGGTCAGGTACATGTTTTAAATGGTCAGAATGAGGAATAAATTCCAGAAGGAGAATAACCACAGTTCACAATTAGCAGAAAAACTGGGCATCTGCTTCTCCCAAATTGTCTTCTCCTTTTCTAGTATATCACCTATCTTCTTTCACATTTGGTTGGCATATGCTAAGGAATAAAACTTCGCAGAATTCAGTTCATGTTAGGTACAAATACAAAACTTCACGCTACTAACTAAGTGCTGGAGGCGTCATGTCATGTGATGAATTGTTACAAGCTTAATGCGAATGGAAGAGAAAGAACGTGAATGGAGGCTAGAATCCTCTGTTCCCATAAAGGTTGAAAAATCAACTTGGTGTATCATGATCGCCAATGAGGCCATCTTCATTCAAAGGTGGGTTATCTCCCCAGTCCCCACAACTGGCTGGATACTAAAAGATGGGTCATACTAGACCGATTGGATTCCTGAAGTTCTCTGATTTTTGGGTGTTCAGCTATTGGATCACTCATGACACTGGCAATGAAACAAAAGTGGTGTGCTGAAGAACGTCACTGGCTTATTTGTGAATGGAAAGAAAATGTAAAAAGCTTAATGTTTGTATGAGATCCGTAATTCCGTACTTTCTAGGTTATGGTTTGCTTGAAAACTTCCTTACTTTTTACACTGACCTTGTATTTCTTGGGGAGTCAACTTATCCCTTATATAGAGTGTTTCAAAGACTCCAAAAAAAGCAGATGATAACTACCAGTACCAGTGGACAAATGAAGATTATGAAAGGAAGGGGAAGAATGTGTATAAAGATTAGGATGTATAGAGATTCTGAACTCCCTAGGTTTGGTCTTGCTTGTAAACTGATTAACTGAGAGCCTAAAGCCCTTGGCTTTTCTGCTGAAATTGTTGTTCATACTCCCTACTCCCTAGGCAATCCATGAGGGATTACAATATCAGTAAATAATTACCAGTGAACTAACATATACTAATTGATATAATGTGTCACCCTGGATGCGATGGAGAGGATGATGGACTTGGTCCAGTTCAAGTTGTATTCTCCGCTGTATAGAAAACTATTTCTCATACTTCACATTTACTACTACTACTACTACTACTCTTTTCCTAAAAAAATTGTATTAATGGAAAAGGAATCAAACTTTAGACACAGGTGCAAATGCGCAATGAGTTTATCAAATAGACCAGATATTTCTCAGTAAATGGCTATTACCCTTTGAATTGTTCCCCTCAATGAAGCAAGCTCAAGCTCATCCAAAGGCAAATTCCGTACCTCCAGATTAGCTGAATGTAGTGGTTGGTAGCACACATTGGTTTTTAGATGCCCTTTTTGGAGGGAAAGCGAGAACGACTTGCCAATAACATTTTCTTCTGAAAGAGGCTGAAAGGGTCCTATGATCTCCAGTGCAAGACTTTCGTCTGGTCTACCTATGGCATCCAACTGCAGCTTAGACAGAGAAAAGGGGTTGAGTTGAGGAGTGATCAGAAGTTATACTCCAGAGCAATTTAGCCCCTGAAGATCAAAGTTTGATTTTGCAAAACAGTTTTATTTTATTTCAAAAACATCACACTTTCAGCAAAAACTTGAGACCATAAACCCGTTTGAGGAGCACGACAAATTACTTTATATCTCCATACTGTTGGATCGATTCTAGAATTTCACCCCCCACCCCCAGGCAACACAATAGAACAAAAGAAAAGAACCAATGTGAACGTTTTATAAGTGGATGATAAAAAAATACCTACCTAGATTAATAACACGAGAGTTTTATGTGAGATTAGTGTGCTATGGACCAAAGATAGACAATGTGTATGAGACAAAGGACAAGAGGTTAAGGGCAAACCTTCAAAACCTCATTTGTCATGCTCAAGACTCCAGTTAACTGAGGTGCCAGCATTAATTGATTAAGTTTAAGACCTGAAATTGAAACATCGCCAGAAAGAATATGTGAACCATGGTCATCCTTATTTACATGTCCTGCACTCCTATTGGATAATTTCTCATCAGTAGCATTCCAACAGTTCACAACTTCTCCTCGAAACTTAACCCTTCCAGTTGCTTTCAAATGCACCAGCCTTGGAGAGTCAAAAGCATAAGAAGAGACTGAGCTGAAGAATTCAAAATTGCGCATTCGTAAATCTAATTCTAGTCCTTCCACAACAAAAGGCAGGGCAGTCTTCTCATCATTTTCCCTGGGATCTAACCAATATTTGTCTGGATAAGACGTTAATACTTTTGAATACAATTCAAAAGCTATCGACGAAGAGCTGACAGTAATACAATCATGAGAAAGTATGATATCTCCACGAGCATCAGTGAGTGATCCATCAGCTTTTGGTGCATTCCATTTGATATCAAACCTTCTACAAATACAGAGGTCCTTAAGTATCACAGAAAAATATAACTGGAACATGTGAACAGAAGCTGATTAGCCAACAGAGGGCACAAAGAGATCGTACGGTTTGAATAATGAGCCAGAAAGCTTTGTTTCCCCATTTAGAAGACCTAGCCGAAGACGTGTCACTTGAAGAAAACCAGGGACATAGCGATTCATGATATTATCAAAACTTAAACTTCCTGAAAAGTTTACATCAATTGCAGTATCATCGATTTCACCCTGCAATGATTAATGTTCTCAGTACCAAGACTGTAAACATAAACCGCTAAATTCCATGAACACTTCAAAATAGTTTTATGTTACCTAAATAATCACATAAAACGAAAAAGGCAAAGTGCGTCTACAAGATTCAATACAGAATCAATCAAAGCTTTACTTAATGTATTAGACAATAAGTAAAAACTGATTTTCACATGGCTCAACAACTTAGTACATGATAAACAATAGCTTATCAAACTAAGAGCTCTAAAGTTGGTCTTGAGCAGCCATGAGAAATGATAATAAATATGGCCATTCCAATTAATGTCATTTAATGCATCTTTAAGCCAATAAGCGCGCGCAAAAACCTCTGGGCAAATCCATGCATTCCCTGCGCCACGGATTTCACCCCCATCAACAAGGCTGCCTCTGATTCCATACAAGTCAGCAACCTACAAGTACAAGATTTACCTACTATTGACATTTCTCAAGAGAAAGAGGAATAATAATGAATCCGGTCACTGAATTGTAGAATGGTTAATCACTTACACAGTTGTCAGTGTTAAAAGTAAAATTGGCTGAGATGTACGAAAAGGGAACACGATCCATTGCAGCAACAGCCCCAGCCTCTTTATTTTTAGCCACAGTCTCATATGCAATGGACACGGGAAGTTGGTTGGGCAAATATGTAACTTTTCTAGAAACTAATGCACTCCCTACGAAAATTGGTGCGTCCAAGGGACCTTGACAATTGAATACAGCTGTTACGGAACCAGCTATCTGAAGTAAACAAAAGAGGGGTTAACAACTTAACATCATGCAGAAACTAAAGCAACCCCAAATGCTGCTCTATGAATCAAATATAGCAATAAAATAACACTTCTCCAAGATTTTGTTTTGATGGGATGCATAAGACATGCATATGGTACATTCATAATATTAATAAGAGCTTAAATGACAGTGAGACCCAACACACAGTTGACTCCAACGGAATGCTCAAAAATCTCACTGGGGGGAGGGATTTTCCACCAAATAATATTTATGTAAACAGGATTTATAATTATGCATCTACCTCAGCTAAAGACTCACACCATTGAGCTCAAGTTCTAGTCATGGAAAAATATGCAAGGTGTTTATACAACAACATTACCCCAGTGCCATAAAGGCTCCCACCTACAGTGGTCTAAGGAGGGGGGGGGTCGGATGTACACAGCCTTGCCCCTATACTAAAGCACAGAGAGACTGTTTCCGAGTGACCCGTGATGAAAATCGCGTCGCAAATTGCATGGACTTCATAATAAAGAAGCACAAACAGTTTAATGAGCCATTTTTATAAGTGAAGAATTGCAAGGTGTTTATACAAATGCACAAAATGTTCCAGGGTCAGATTATGAACACATGACCAAAATGCAAATAAGTGAGCAATTGTGGACAAGTGCAACTACATTCTTTCCTTAAGATAAATTTACGAGCTTCATATGTTGATATAGAACTAGTTTTTATTTTCTGCTTTCTGACTACTAAATATTGGGTTACGACAGCCAAAGGTGTGTACCTTCGTAGGGAAGTAATGTGCCAATAATGTTCAATGAAAAAAATTTCATTAGAAAATCTTTTAGTATAAAACAAGCTTAACTTTACAAAGTTTTGTAAAGGGAATAAACATGCACCACCCTCAATGTCGCAAAATAGTACTTTTCAGCTCAAAGCAAGACCTATTTCACTCGAATTTAGATATGGTCATATGGAGATAGATGCAACCAAGTGCGCAATGAAAAGGAAATATACCGGAAACAATAAAGGCTTCATTTTGAAAGTTTTCATCAATGCATTTACTTCGACATTAGGAACCTGAAAAAAGAACCAGAAACAGAAATAAAGAAGTGAGCACCAGGATAATAACCAGAACCAATCCGTACTTAGGTTTCATGTGGTCATATTGCAATGGATGCACTGTCAGAGCTTTTTATAGTGTTAAACTATACCTGACACATAAGGTGGAACTCTCCTTCCTCTGGGTCAATGCCAAAGTCTCCAGAAGCTTCTAAAGGAATATCTCCAAACCAACCATTGGTGTTGTGTAAAAATATTCGTTGAGCACGAAAGCATAAATTTGCAGATATGTCCTGAAATGGAAATGCAGAAAAGGATTGATCATTAGAATTGGTAACTTACTATCAAGTACATTCCATCCACTTCGCACAACATCAAAAACAAAAGTGAGAAGACTGGCAGCTAGAAGTCCTAAAAAAGATTATTATTCATCATAAGATTAACTGATAAGACAAATGTAACTATCAGTTTCCATCAACAGTGCCATAGAATGAAAAAGTACAATGTGGTCAAACAGAGTATATCTGAAGTCCTAAAACACATTTAACCAAAATATCCACAGATATCACTAATGTAAATTTCAGTGCCCTCCGTCACACCCTAGAATTGCACTTAAGAACAATGTATGCAGACTGTATTCCCAGTGTCTGATTGTCTATAAATTAATTAGAGATGTTTCTAGGCAATAACTTACTCTAAGAACTATCAAAAGATAAGTTTTGCTTAAAAACTACTCCCTCCGTCCCTTATAACTTTGCCATCTTTCCTTTTTGGGTGTCCCAAAAACTTTGTCACTTTCCTTTTTAATCAATGAATTTGTTGTGGTTCGTATTATTTCTCTCTCCTCTGCACAAACCTCAACCACACATTTTTTACTTTATTATTTCTTGTGCCAGTCAAACTTGGCGAAGTTTTGAGGGACGGAGGAAGTTAAAATCAAGCAATAAATGCATTGCAGCGAATAAGCCATCAGCATGAAGTTTTTGATAACTAATGCAGATATAGGTTTAAATAGGACTCACTGAAAACCCTGATGGAGAATCATATATCTGAAATGCTAACTCAGATACATCAAGCTGCCCGTGTAGATTAGGAAAGTTCTCTCCTCTTGACATGCATATGTGAACCTGTCAAGAAATCCAGAATCCGATAAGGTAGTAAATTAGGCATGAGTCGCATGAACCGTGAATAAGGAATGGTCAGGCATACATATTTAGATATACAAATTGCAATGTACCACTGGATGACTAGAATTCTATCAGCCATAACACATCACTGTCAAAAAGGGAACTAGGTGTGACAATTGATCAACCAATATGTGAGTTAACAAACAAGTAAACATAGCTTGGTTAGAGATAATGATATTTACAACAATGTCCCCGGGAACACATGTGTTAAAGTATATCGTTACCATACTTGTATTCCTTGCGACTATCAAGCCAGTCTAGAGATGCTATAGATTAGTGCACCTCTAGCTCACAAATAACTAATTAAATCAACATTGCAAATCTTACTGTCTAAGAGACTAAGACGTATCTATTTAAGGATGTTTAAAACCTTAATCCAATCAAACAATTTTAATCCAAAAATCTAGTTGTTTACATGGTATTAGAGCTTCTTATGTTACGCCTAGTTATTTAACCACGTAAACAGTGTTGTTACTTTTTATGAAACTCTAAATTTTGAGCTAGGTTCCGACCTTTCACCTTTGGCACGGTTATTGACAGAAGACAGCATGTGCTTTATTAAGTGACATGCTGTGTGAGCAGCATCACCCCTGTCAATGGAAAGGAGCATGTACATGAAGTGAAAAAGGCACAACTACTAAGACATGGTTAATGTTCTAGAACCCCAGTTTGTTGGGGTAAAAAGAAACAAGAGGACCAGAGGATTGGTGTAAGATACTCTGAGAAGCCAGGACTCCAGGAGTCTTACGAGTAGAGAAACATTTTCCACGAATTGTCACTTCATCAGAAAAGGATATGCTTGCCAAATTATGATTCTATTTTGAAACAAAAACTATGAAACATCTGAACCAGCCGCTCAAATTCCTTTTCATCTAAATAGTCATCAATGCATGTGATAGGGTACCCAAAGTGCATATCGGCATATAACACATGGACACATAACATCCATGTGAACTAATTAAAGTTGAAAACCTGCTGATAATTGACATGATTTAAAAAATGACTTGTGAAAATGTTCATCAAAATGGCATTACACGAACTAAATTAGAAACATAAGAAAATGTGAGACACGCTAATTGGGTATGGAAAGACGAGGACGAGTATAATGATTATGTACACTCATGATAGGATTCGAGTAGAGTAGCACTGATAATAATAAACGATAGTAATAATAATATTAGAATAATTAGAATATAAAGAGGCTGATGGTGGAATAACAGGGAGGGTGGGATTATTTTCTTGGCTTGGGACTTGGACAGTTGGCACTTTTTAACTGCCTTTGTATTTCTCTCTCTATTTTCTGTAATACGACCCCTTTCAGTTGTTACACACATCTCTGTCTTCATCTTGTTTCTTGAAATTCATTGTGAATTAGATAGTACTTATCATTGTTATCAGAGCGTCAGCTACTCAAGGAACGATGGAAAGTAGACAGGAGATCCTGGAGCGCAATTTTGAATGCTATCGCGAGGAGAGGCGGAGTTAACGCGAGGAGATATGAAAATATCACGAGGAAAGGCGGAAAGAGATCACAGAATGGCGCTCATTGATCCTGCAGCAGAACGCTCGACATGAACGAAGAAAATCAAGAAGTTCAAGGCGCCACACTGTACATGAGAGTCCTACATCCTCTGAAGCCAGAGGTAAGTCACGAACTTTGTCTCACAGTTCGCAGTCGCGAACCGTTTCTTTGAGTTCGCAGGATTGGTCGCAAACTTCTTCTAGCAGTTCTTCAGCATCGTCGCAAGCACAAGAGTCCAGTTCGCAGCTGCGAACAGTTCCTTCCAGTTTGCAGATGCGAACAGTTCCTCCCAGTTCGCAGTTTGTAATCGATGTCCCCAAATCTCAGGTTCCCTCACTCGCCATATCTCACAGCTCATCGTCGCTTGAGGTTTCTCACCTTGCGACAGGTTCATCAGCTTCAAGAACCTTTGACCTAGGCGCATCAGAAAAGGGATCCCAGGGGACTCCACCAACAACAATGAACACAGAATTAAACCCGGTAGCCCCATCAGTTACGGAATCAGATCCTGAATAGGATGTTAATCAACCTATGAGATTTTCATCAGACAATATGGAAGGTTCAGAAATACTTAAACCAGATCATTGTTTACCAGACAATAGTTTGGAAGGGCTGAATAAGATTGATTGTTTCAAATTTGATGTTGTTACTTCTATGAAGTGTATTCAAAAGGAGTCAAGCGTACGATTAATTGGGAATCATGCAGTAAGCGAAGATGAAAATGTTAGAGGAATGCCAGTAGTATGTAAACCTGTTCAAGAGGGAAGGGTAGGTTTGGATTATCTTCATATGGCTATTGTGTTTGCCTTCCACTGCTAGGAGAAACTCTATTCCCATTCTTGATGATCACACTGAAGAAAATGTTATTCTTGTCGGGTGATCCCACTTTGGCAATTTCCTATTATGTTGCTAGAAGTCTAGCTGCTGGGTCCCTTTTACGTATGAGTGGCACTTACAGGGAAATTGTTAGATCCTATCTTGATTCTTCCCGCCTCCAGCATCAGCTACAAAGATTGAATGATTTGGGTTCTTTAAATATGTTGACTATTGGAAGAGAGGTTGTTTTCAAAGTTCATTCAAGCATCTGGGTGTTGGAATCTGGTGTTGAGAACATGAATTGCTATTCGTTGATCATCTATCAGGACTTAGGGAGTGTTTGCGATTGCTTGTGCTTTTAAGAAGTGATTTTTTTAAGAGATAATTGGAAAAGTGATTTGTAGTAAAAGTTGGTAGTGTTTGAGAATAAAAGTGATTATAATTAAAATGTAAAAGTTGGAGTGTTGGATAAAAAGGTGGTTTTTGATGTGATATTCTATTAAATACAAAAATGCCCTTGCTATATCAATCCCTTGCTATAGTAGAAGGTTTCTCAAAATTCTCTATGAATGATGATGTTCTCTAGATTGGCCGAACTGTGCCAAATCAATGCTCTGCTTTAGTTCTACTTCTCCAACCAAACCCTCTCACCTCTCTATATCTTCTCATCTATGGGGCAAGTCAGGAAAATGCACTCGGATCTCCAGAAGAAGAAGAATGAGATAGACAGAAGCTCTGAAAAGAGAAGCCCGTTGCTAGATTGTCCGGGCGAGAAGGAGATTAGAGATATCATCCATGGGGCCTTGATGGACCCCATCTCTTTGAAGACCTGTGTCGAGCTGCAGCACGGAAGTCGGAAGTGGAGGGGAAGCGAAACGGAAGAAAGCAGGTGGAGAGCAGAGAGAAGAAGGGGCAGTTTGGGTTTAATTGAAAATTTTGATCTAATGACTATCCATAAAGTTTCAAGTATTTACTAAAAAACCCTAGAAGCACTAAAAAGCATCACAATGGCTGCTTACAACTTTTGACTTAAAAGTGCTCAAAATTAAGCTGAAGTGTGTGTTTGCAAACACCCATTTGAGCTTATTTTAACAAAAAAGTTGAGAAGCACTTTTGGGTAGTGTTTGAAAACACTCCCTTACTGGTGTCAACAACAATTTCTAATGATGACTTGATGAAGATTTGTACTCATGTTGTCTTGAGGCTGAATCCAAATGCTTTGTGTTCTGGCCTGAGCTCTTGGTCCTGTTTTCGTAAAGGAAATGCTACATCTAATAACTCAGGAGAGGGGCATGATGAGAATGCGTACCACGTGAGTGGATACTGCTATGTGCTAGTGGACAGTGATCAATGCATCTCAAGAATTTCAGTGACACTGACCAAGCTCTGGGAAGAGGTTGATCTGGAAAGAAACAGATCCAAGTGTGATGGTCCAAACAATGAAAACGAGGAGGAAAAATGTATGAAAATTGATAAACAACCAGGGAGATACTGGGAAGGTTTTGACTGCCAGTTTCATATGGTTATTGCTAGTAAATGGATCAAGGCTATAAACTGTGAGTACATGATGATTCTCAACAAACCTACTGGAAGATCTTGTGATGAATTAACTAAGTATCCTTTGTCTCCTTGGGTTTTGGCTGATTATTCCACAGAAATCTGGGTTTGATGAAGTCATTTACTCACTTGGGTCTTGCAAAACCCGTGGGAGCCTAAGTAGCAGCGGTACAGAAACGGAAACGGAAACGGGGACGGGGAAACTCGAATGTCAAAATATCAAGATACGGGTACGGCAAGGAAACGTCGAACTAAAAATTAAAATTTTACTAATATATAGGTAATGTTTACGTCCATCAATATGAAATAAATAAACAAAACATATCTCCATACTTAAAATACATTCCACATACATAATAAATAAACAGAAAAAGTAAATGTTTTACCAACTTCGGCCCATTAAATCAGACCAGCAAGAAAGTGGAAACAAGCCCCACCCAAATCCCCAATTACGCACCGTACAGCAAAGAGCAAACCAGCAGAAAGCAGATGCCTCACCAGCTTCAGCCGGCCACTCCGTCCAGCAGACCAACACTCCAAGTCAGAGCTCGGAATCGCCTATTCTGCATCATGCAAGCGTGAGAGCGTCGCCTATTGCTTCTTCTTCCCATCTAGGATTCGCAAGTCGTTCGCAGACTTCACGGTCGCAGTTTCGCAGGTGCTGTTTTAGACTTTCAGTCTGCCGATTGGGAGTACGATTGATTGACCCATTTGACCGACCCAGATTTAAAAAAAAAAAAAAAACTACAAGAAACGTGTCGGTCCACTGCAAAGCACGTTTCCGAAACGTTTCCAGCCTTAGGCCCAAAAGCCCACGACTGCAGAAACGTTTCCTGTCGTTTCCGAGCCGTTTCCGGCCATTTCTCGGCGTTTCGCGTTTCTGAAACGTTTTCGGGACGGAAACCTCCCCCTAGTTGGCGTTTCCGTGCTTCCTAGGTGGGAGCATTAAGTCCAAAGCAAGATGGAGAGTCAATAGGTGAAGTTGTGCTTTTTCAATGGGTTAATGGTTTATTTGAAGAGTTCATAAGTAAGCATAGAGCATTCTGCCACCAGGACTTTGTTTCTGCTCCTACTTGGCACTGAAGAACATGAAGATAAAGTTCAAGTACTGAAGCTAGAAGTCCAGAATTCAGTGAGGTATTGGGAAGAAAGAGACACAAGAATGAAGATGAAGCTGAAAGTTATGGCTGTTTTCTATCACCCACCTTGAGGTCTGATAGGGACCCACCTATTATAATAATAAATAGACTAATAGCTATTAGTTAAAGCATGTAATAGATATTAAATAAAAGGAGTGCTGGATTGTATAAATAGAAGGAAGACTGGGAAGGGAGGCAGGCTTTTAGGACTTTTGGGAACTGGGACTTGGGAAGATTAGAGATTATCGTCTCTTCTCTTTGGGAGGCTTCGGCCTAGGTTAACTGTACTGTTCATCTTCTCCTCTAATAAAATTCACTTGATTTCTTGTTCTTTCTGTAAATCGTCTGCAATCTTGGAGGTTCCTATCAGTGGTATCAGAGCATGTCGATCGCTGGAGGAAATACACGCGCAAAGATGGATGGACGAATTAACGAAGTGCAAGCGAATCTGGAAAGATGTCTGCGAGAGTTCCAGATTAATATGGAGGCGAGTTTTGCGGCGAGCTTTGCTGCGTTTCAAACAAGTGCCGCGAAGTTGGTGATTAACACCCAAAATCGGTCGCGGAACAGATCGCATGCGACAAACGCATCACATCGCGAATCTCATCATCTTCACAAGCTAAGGTCAGCGACTACAGAGGAATCAGAAGAGAGAAGGCATCGCAGAACACCTGATCGATCGAGTACCAAATTGCAAACGAAATCGCTAAATTCTTCTCACCAGTCTCGGTCGCGAAATGAGGCGTCATCATCATCGCCTACATCGCGTCGATCTCACCATCACCATTCGCCTAGCCATCACCACTCGTGTCACTCGCGAAAATCAATCAGTCCTTCACATCGATCTTCGAAGAATTCTTCACATCGATCTTCACAGAGTTCTTCCCATTGCCATGAGCATACCTCTTCGCATCATTCTTATCAAACTTCGTATCACTATTCGCAGAATTCCTCTCATGCTGTCAGTTCGCTTCCAAGAAAGACGCGAGTGAAGGAAGAATCTCCATCGTCGACTCTGGACTATTCTTTCAGTTCAAATGTTTCTTCGATTGGGGAATCTTGCAGCTCATCAGCAACCAGGTCTTCATCGGTTGTGGTTTTACACCGTGAGCAAGGGTCAGCAGCTTCAAGAATTTTTGACGTAGGCCCATCAGAAAAAGAATCCCAGGGGACCTCACCAACAAGAATGAACACAAAATTAAAACCGGTGGTCCTTTCAGTGACAGAATCAGACTCTGAAGAGGAGGTTAATCCACGTACAAGATTGTCATCAGACAATATGAAAGGTTCAGAAATACTTAAACCCAATCAATGTTTACCAGATAAGAGTTTGGAGGGGTGGGATAAGATTGATTGTTGCAACATTGATATTGTTACTCCCGTGAAGTGTATTCAGAAGGAGTTGAGTGTACAAACTGTTGGGAATCATGAAGTAAACGAAAATAAAAATGTTAGAGGAATGCCAGTAGAAGGTAAACCTGTGCAAAAGGGAAGGGTAGGTTTGGAATGTCTTCATATGGCTAATGTGTTTGCTTTCCACAGCTATGAGAAACTCTATTCACCATTATGGATGATCACACTGAAGAAAATGTTATCCTTGTCCGATGATCCCGCTTTGACAATTCACTATTCTGTGGCTAGAAGACCAACTTATAGGGGAATTGTTAGATCCTATCTTGATTCTCCTAGCCTCCAGCAACAGCTACGAAGATTTAATGACTCTGGTTCTTTAAATGTGTTGGAATCTAGTATTGAGAACACCAATCTGATCAAACTCTGGGAAGATGAGGATCTGGAGGGAAACAAAGGGGTCTTACCGATCTGGGTGGTGGCTGATTATTCATCAGAAAAGATGGGTTTGATAAAGTCATTTACTCATTGGGATAATGCAAAACCCAAGGGTGCATCAAGTCCAAAGCAAGAGGCAGAGTTATTAGGTGATGTGATTTTTCAATGGAAGACGGGGTTATTTGAAGAGTTCCTAAGTAAGGATAGAGAGCTTTCTGCTACCAGGACTTTGTTTATGCTCTTACTTGCACTGTTGAACATGAAGATAAAGGTTCAAGTACTGAAGCTACAAGTCCATCAACCAGTCAAATATTGGGAAGGCAGAGGAACAAGGAAGAGGAAGAGGAAGCAGAAGATGTTGGTTTTCTCCTACCGCCCACCTTGAGGGCAAGGTGGAAGTTTAGGGGGGGAGTATTGATAGGGACCCACCTATTATAATAATAAATAGACTAATAGCTATTAGTTAAAGCATGTAATAGATATTAAATAAAAGGAGTGCTGGATTGTATAAATAGAAGGAAGACTGGGAAGGGAGGCAGGCTTTTAGGACTTTTGGGAACTGGGACTTGGGAAGATTAGAGATTATCGTCTCTTCTCTTTGGGAGGCTTCGGCCTAGGTTAACTGTACTGTTCATCTTCTCCTCTAACAAAATTCACTTGATTTCTTGTTCTTCTTTCTGTAAATCGTCTGCAATCTTGGAGGTTCCTATCAAGGTCAAGGTGATTGTTCAGGGTAGAGATATGATAGGATTCGAGTAGAGTAGCACTGATAATAATAAACGATAGTAATAATAATACGTAGTATTAGAATAATTAGTATAAATAGAGGCTGAGGGTAGAATAACAGGGAGGTTGGGATTATTTTCTTGGCTTGGGACTTGGAGAGTTGGCGCTCTTTAACTGCCTTTGTATTTCTCTCTCTCTATTTTCTGTAATACGACCCCTTTCAGTTGTTACGCAGATCTCTGTTCTTCATCTTGTTTCTTGAAATTCATTGTGAATTAGATAGTACTTATCAACTCACTACATAAATTCACACTAATCCAGTCGCAAAAAAAGGTTATTGAGCAAGTAAGGTTTTGGGTACATTTATGCACATAGACGAAGTTGAAAGAACTATAAAGCTTTAATTGCAAGTATGAGATGAAAAATATGCTATCCTCATATGTCTAAAAGATATACTACAAAAAGAATACACTAAAGACCCTATTCATAAAGCAAGAATATAGAACATGCGCCAAGCCCACTCCACAACTACATGATCATGAGTAAAAGGGTCTGAGTTGTGTCCACCAAATGATGAATTTTGCAACCCCATTTGGTCATGGAGTGCAGATAACAAGTAGTAACATACTAACATTCTGAATTTCTGACACACAGTGAGCTGCAAGATGCTGGATAATTTACTCACAAAACAAGAAATAAAATCAGTCAAAGGAAACTGAAAAATGCATGTTAAATGCGGAATTTGAGGAGCAAATTGAAATTAGTGTTTGCTTATTCTTAGATATTTTTAAGTTGTACTCCATCCCAAAAAAAGAATTTTGTTTCAAAAGCCGTATTTGTTCTTTAAAAAAGGAGCCTTATTTCCTAAGACGGAACTGGTCATGCATCTAATTACAACAACAACATCCGAGCCTGAGTTCCAAAAGAATTTGGGGTCGGCTAAAAAGAATCAGGTCATTCATCTAATTCTCCAAGAAAAATTACAAACGAGTTCAATGCTAATCATGCTATGACTTGTGACTTTAGTTAAACAAAACTAGATACTTTTAAAATATAGGTAGGATTCCATGACTTTCAATAGTTGTACTTTGATATAGATATTAAACAGTCATACACTCATACCTTCCCAAAATTGGACTTTTTGGGAGGTGAAGTAAGACATTACAAATAAAGGTCATCTCTAGTATGTATGGGTGGCTTCTATTCGTTTCCAGTAAACTAGCTCCAGAGTTGCATGGTATCACCTTGCCATGGATACCTTCAATAGTATCCTCTAGGAAGGTGATAACACTAAAACAGATAATCTATGACTCCGCATTACAGCTAATGAACAACTACTGGACTGTTGTACAACTATCTTCAACACAATGAATTAACATAAGCACTTTAAGTGATCCAAACATAAAAAAAATTAAAATAAGAAAATAAAGATGGGAATTTAGAATTCTATTGCACAGATGCAGCAGCTATCCAGCATTTCAGATTCAGAACAAAAATGACATCTATGCATATAATATTCATATTCAACAGCACAGGGAGTTAGGGAAGCACCTCACCGTTTGCTCTTCCCTTAAACCATGTAATCGGGATTTCCAAAATTCTCTCAAAAAGCTGTATATGGACATAACAATCAGCATTCAGCATGACATTCGGAAGTCACTTCAGCGCTCTCTGAGTGGACAAAAAGAGTAGTTCTATCTATCAAATACTAGCAAAAATGTAATTTACCGGAACAAAGAAGTTTGCAAGTTTCAGATTTGCATGCCATCTCTGCTCACGCATATCCACATAAACGTCACATGAAAGCCAGCCACCATCTTCGGGTGTCATCTCTCTCCACATCATACACCCACCACTGAGTTGTACATGCACGCGACCATAGTCATTTTGAAACTTGACACTCCCAGTGGCATTTTTCATCTCTCTATGGGAAACAAAATGTTATAATAATAATTATAAATGATAATAATATCAATATAAATTATATATACATGCATATCTATATATACAGTGTGGTTCAAAACTTCAAATACCAAAAAAAAAGTGTGGTTCAAATACAAATACTGCTTAACGTGAGAAATGCTCTTCACTTTTACTTTTCTATATTGCACTTTTATGTTTAAATACTACACCTTAATGTGGTGGCGAAAACATTCACTTATTCATGGAATTGCCACCGCATTTTTAACCAAACCTGCTGCACTGTTTGCACTTTTAAGGCCATCGAATCTCAAATCTAATGCAAGAAAACCATTCTCACTTCTCACATTAAGAAAAAAATTATTTGATCCAAATTCTATGTGTGTATGGAAGGCAGAAAACGCAAGTCCAAGGACTGAATCAAGTATCTAAAGCTGGCATTCATATTCTTAAAATAAGTTTACCCCATGCAGTACATAAAATTGTTCAAATGTGTTTAATAAATATAGATGCAACCTATGTAGTCAAAAACGTGCCTACAGGGCTTTGGGCTTAAGCACACAAGGCGAGGCGCATCTGATAGTTAGCGCCTGTAAGGCTGCCGGGCGCAGCTACCTGACTGAGGTGCAATTGTTGTGCATGAAGCGCACAAGAAGAAAAAATGGTCTTTAAATCACCTGGGCTAGGAAAGGTTTGTCAACCTATTTTTCTGGTTGATCCTGTTTTAATAATAAGCCCATATTTTAATAAGGAACAGCTCATCCATCATCCAAATAATAATGGAGCAAAACAACTTAAACTTGCGTTAAACCCTTCTAAGTCACATATGGCCTTGACATGGACTTTTCCTAAAGGTTATGACACATTCCAATGGAAATATCGTTAATATAGGCAATATTATTAGTGACATGACATAATCTGCGAGTGGGTAAAGTTGCGGAAAAATATTAGACAGACACAAATTACAGGGCCAACTCAACAAGTTCCTATAGAACTTTTAAGCTAAAATAAAAATAAAGAAGCACATTGGAGAGGATTACCTTGGCTCAGTATCACCATATGCGAGCAACATTAAGGTGCCACCCTTGAAATGAACAGAATCCAAAATTACTGGAATTGCTCTTTCTATGTTGACCACATCTTCTTCAACATCCTTTTCAAGTTCAGAAAAACCATTTCTTGGATTCATGTACAACTCCATTCTTTTAATAGGATTACCAATCAAAAGACTCAAAGCCAGAGTCATGTTGTGCAGTACAGATTTTAGGCTGAACAGCCCAACCTTTTCAGGGCAGTGCTTGAGAGGAAAAGAATTAAAGAGAGTGAAAGTTGAGTCATTAGAAGGATGGTCTCTTTGACTATCTGAAAGATCAGAGCAAGTCTCCTGCATCAAGTCAGTAGATAATTCAGATTTCTGCTTTGTACTATGGCTACTATCATCTCCATTTATGATATGAGCTTCTGATTCTTTAGCATTTATATCACCCTCATTGGTCTCATTAATCCCGGTAACATCCTTCATGGATGATAGTTTTTCACAAAGATTTGTAGTCTCGCACAGTCTAGTCAACGTAAAAAGAAATGGATCGTACAAGAACGGTATACTACCAATGTAACTACTGTCATGTTTTTCTCCTGGGAAAAAGTTTCCAGGAAATTTCACAGTGATACGTTCACTTTTGAAGTTTTGCCCAAGTTCCCCGACTCCCTTGCTCATAGAATCATGCACGAATGATTCAAATGTTGTATCATCATTAACTTTGTTCCCTTCAGCATCGTGCACTGGTGAAATCACAGTTTCCTTGTCCTCATCACTTTTGGCCTCACTTTTCACTTCAAGATCTCCAGGAGATTGAGAAGCATTTCCGCTGGTACCATTGGATAGAGCTTGATAATATATGCGAGCGGTCGAAGCACTTCGCTCTAAGATTCTTTTTTTAGCTGCAATATTAGCTGCGGTTAACTCTTTTTTATTACACTTCTTGAAATTATGCCTCATAACAGCAGGCATGATTCGAGACCAAAATGTAGTCCCTGAAGGAAGAACTTTAGCACCAAAAGCCTTCTCGAGATCTGAATGTTTCATAACATACTCCCCTACAGTGTCCAAAGAATGATGATCTTTCCAGTGCAGTTTCTCATCCATACAAAAGAACGACTCAGATGCTGCCAATTTTTCCGAAGAACTAACACCACCATTGGTGAAGTCGCCCTCTGACAAACAAGAAACCCTTTCACGAAGAACATAACCATTCTCAGCTGCTTCCCTAGCTGCATTGTCCCTATCCCTGGCCCAGCAAGCAGCCGCTTCCTCTCTGGAAATCCTCCTAGTTTTTGTACGGTAATCAATTCCTTCTTCGTCAGACAAATGCCTCTGTTGACTTCCTTCAGAAAAGGGTATACTCAAGAAAGTGAAATCCTTTTTTTGTGCTACCAGAACACTTGGATTTGATAAGACTGCGTCAATAACAATCTTTCCATTTCTCAAACTAGCAAATGGCAGAATTCGTAACTTGACAGATGGAACCTCGCCACAGGAAAACTCTTCACTATGGGGACCAATAGAGCATGACTCCAATGTCATGCTTAATGGTGAAATTCTCCGCACCCTACCAAAATCCAGATCACGCTGAATGTAATCACTCAATAATACACAAATAGAAGGCAGAAGATTGTTTTCAACATAGCTCTTGGCTTTTCTCTGACCATACCAAAGCAGTAGGCAAACTCCAGATATCACCGTAAAAAAGACAGAACAGCGCACAAGAAGTAATCCTTCATCCCATACACGAACCATCCATTTCACGAAACTCCTACTTTGAACTAAAGGTTGTTTAACCGAATACATCAATCTCCAGCTTCTGAGTGCAAACTTCTTCCATAGCAATTGAGCATTTCTCTCTAAAGAATGGGTGAAGTTTACCCCTTTAGATATCCAGTTATCTTTCTTTGAGCATTTACATTTGCAAATATCCCTTTTCAGTATCCTGGCTCCACCTCTATAACACAATCTCCCCCTTTTCACTCCATATAAATCACGGGTAAATTGGCAAGCAATGAATGGGCTCTCAAGTCTGCAGCTCATTTTCTCTGAATCAGAATCACGAAACGCTTACAACTAAATATCCATATTCGCAGGGGACCAAGAGCACGAGTCTTAGCCCCCGCACAGCTTCACTTCACCTCCAAATTCCCCAGCATTCAAGACCTAATTCGTAAGAGCGCGAAAAATTAATTCAATCAGAAACCCCGCGTATTAGCTCCAACTGAAAATATAAAATGAAGCGCATAAAAGGTGAAAAAAATAAGTCGCAGTGCAACGCCATACCCGAGATAAGCCGTGACTGCAGGGCCCCAGGGACAGGACACTGTAAACGGTACAGACGTGCAGTCGTTGGCTGACTTGGCTCGTCCCTCGTCTGAGTCGACTCGGTCCTTCGGTCGATGTTGGAAGAAGAATCTACTGACAAACTTAACTGACGATGCTTAGGATTGATTTCAATTTTGGTGCTCTGCCCTCTGTTTTTAATTATAGTAATTGCTCTAACTAAAACCAAGAATAACTAAAAAAAAGGGCCCTGCTGCGCGCACCGCAAATAATACTTGGCGCACCCCATTTTCGCTTTTGCTGGACAACTTTATCCCTGTTTAATTTTTGTTACGTCACAAGCATGGACAATTTTCCCATTTGTTGTTTAGAATTTTAATTTTACACGTATGGCAATGGCATGGTCATAATTGGACAATAGTAATAATACAATTAAGAACTCATTAGGAATCGAAGAAATCTGCCGATTCTATTGATATTTTTAATTTTTACTAATAGTGAATTATACTTTGTATATATTAATGATCGAAGTTGTTCATCCGCAAATGTGAAAAGTTGATCGTTGCATACATTTATTTAAGAACGGAGAAAGTATTCTATTAACAAAATAAAGTTAAAATTATATAAAAATAACTAAAATAGTCATCTATCGTAACTTCAGCCAAAAAAGTAACTTCAACCTTAATTTTGTTTATTTTTACACAATTCAACGTGCAAAATCAAAAGTTGTGTGTTTGGTTAAAAAGTTGGTTGATAAGCCGAAAAAAAGAGTCACCAAACGGACTCTAAGGTAATTATATGCTCCACATGTAATAAACAACTAATGCAATTTTTATACTCCCTCCCCCAAATTGAGTTGCTTGAGTCACACATATTCATTTTATTCACTTAATTAGAATATCATTTTTAATTCAATTTTAATTTGGATTTTACAATCTTGTAGATATTTTAATATAGTTTCTAAATACGTAAATTTTAATTATTAAAATTGAATTAATTATCAACAGGGAGAATTTAATTTTACTATTGGTTAATAAACGAATATGTACTTTGCAAAACAATTTGGGACGGAAGTAGTATCTGGTTTTTATTTTTTTTATGTCAAAATATATTTATATTTTTACATATTTAATCTTGATATATCATTGAAAGAATGTATGAAAGCAAATAGGAGTAAATAATAACTTATTTAATAATAACACATAATTTAAAATTTATTTAATATTTTTTAAAAGGATTATAATTTTTATACGTCACCCATTTTAAAAAATGCTTGAGGGTGTTGAGCACTTGAGCGTTGGGACTTGGGAGCAGCTCGTATAGTATACGAAGTATATAATTAATAAGGACAAATGTGTCTAATGAGGGTTAGATTAAGCATTTTGGTGGTGCGCGTAGCAACACCCCTAAAAAAATGAGGTATGTTTGCTCTTGCTTGTGTTTTTCAGAAGTGATTTTTAAGAAATTATTGAAAAACTGATTTACAAAAAAAAAATTGGTAGTATTTGATAAGAAGTGATTTTAATTGAAATGTACATATGGATATACGAAAGGCTTCGTATGAACAAAACCATCAGAAGCCGTTCCCGGTGGATTTTTTTAATGAAAATTTTTGAACATGTTCTTCATCAAGTCTAGTTTATTCATACCAAATTTCAGTTCAAAATTCAATCAGGAAGACAGTCAAACAAATTCTTGAAATATACTGCACATTATATGTGCGCAGAATGCCCAATTTTATCGGATGTCCCCGAAGGAACGATTAATAAAGAATGCTTACTAAGCCCTGCCTTATTAAGTCATTGCTTAATAAGAACGGCTTATTAAATATTCCATCCGTATCTATTTATTTGTCTCACTTTCCCTTTCGGGACGTACAAAAAAATGTCTCATTCCTTCTTTTGGAAAGAGACCCACTCAAAAAATAATTAGAGTACCGCTACAATACTGCTACAGTACCGCTACAGTATCAAAAAACCTCCTACTTTACATATACTTGCCTTAAACTACGTAAAAAGGTAAACGGGTCAAATAAATAGATACGGAAGGAGTATATCTTTACTTGATTTGGCTAAAAATATGTCTTACAATGAAAATGTCAAAAATATCCTTAAAAATTAGGATAGTACGGAGTATAAGATTACAATCTTCCTTCTTGGAACACTGCCACTCATTAGTCCATTACCATAAATACACATACCCTTTGCCCTTCAACATAATTAATAGTAATGGGTGATGACACATATTCAAACAATTTCAATGTGTGCATATTATGGTAACATCGGGATAAAATGCTAGTTATCTAATCTAAAATCTGTATATTTGTAAACGATGGTTAGAGCTCTTTATTCAAGTCACATTTTACAGCAAACTCCAGCGTGGATAATCAAAATTGATACTAAGTAAGAAACAAAACTTCATAAATGCTTCTCTTACTTTTTCATCCTAAGACACACAACTTAATCTGAAAAAACACCACAGATTAAATCTTTGCGTGGTCCGTCGGCGAGTATTAATACGTAGTAATAAAAGTCTTGTTTTTGCAAAAAAAAGTGTTGCAATTAAACACAAAAGCAATCACAATCATTATAAAAGAATGAATGAATGATAGCGACCTATATGGGCTAGGTAGTACAAAGTTGTTAACAAAGAAAAGTAAATGCTGTGTTCTGGAATGGCGTCTCTACCACGTCACTATATCCATCATTCTGTACGTGTGTTACACAAAAGTTGGATAACAAAGAAAAGTAAATGCTGTATATATGTTGATCACCAATGAGATATCGTTGAAAACACAAAAGTCAACATCCCGCAGCACGTGCATTGATGAATGATGGTTCACTTTTCTCTTCTTTTTTGATGAATTTCGATTTGCCAGAATCTGAATTATGAAAATTCAGTTATTACTGTGGCACATCATGAATTGAAATGGTAGCCAGCTAAGATGAAGATGACACAAGTGATGCATGCTAAGGAGTTGGTGTCTTTGTCAACTCAAGTGTAGCTTTTCTTTTCTGCTGTGATTAGCTTGAAGAGGGTGGAGATGGAAAATATAGAGGTGGTGGTGGTGGTGCTTGTTCTGAACACGGTGGAGGAGAAGCTGGGGGTGGGCTAGTGGTAGGCGGTGGTGGAGGTGAGTTTCCCTGAGGAGGGGGAGGTGTTGTCATGCTGCAATTGCAATGACTCGGTGGTGGAGGTGGAGGTGTAAATGCATGAGGTGGTGGTGGTGGTGGAGGAGATGGAGGCAGTTGTGGTGGTGGAGGAGGATTCGTTTGCGGTGGTGGTAGAGGGGGCAGTGAAGGAGCTTGTGGTGATTCTGGTGGAGGAGGAGATGAAGGCAATGGCGGTGGAGGTTCTGTATGCGGTGGACATGGGAATACAGGCGCGGGTTGTGGTGGTCTAGAAGGAACTTGGGGTGATGGTGGAGGAGGGGATGAAGGCGGAGGTGGTGGAGATAATGGTGCTGGTTGTGGGCGCGGTGAAGGAGCCTGTGGTGATGCTGGTGGAGGAGGAGGAGGAGATGAAGGCCGATGTGGCGGCAGCGGTGATGGCGGAGGAGACAAAGGCGGTTTCGGTGAGGCTAAACACTTGAAACTACTACAATTGAGTGTGGATGTGGTAGACAAGAACCTCTTACATTCCAACTCAGGCCTCTGATCCTCCCTATCTCTACCCAAACAGTTCTGCCTGTCATCATAAGATGGCAAATTGAGACAAGTTGAAGCCTCCCTCGTGAAAAAGTTATACTCATAATCAAACCTCACCAGCCCATCAAGCGAGCATATACCATCAGGAATCTCCCCATAGAACAGGTTATGCGCTACATTCAGCTCCTTCAATCTCTCCATCCCGCCTATACTCTCCGGTAACCTCCCCGTGATCTCGTTATCGCTCACATCCAGCACGTCCAAGTTCTTAAGCCTTCCGATCTCATCCGGCAAACACGAGTGAAAAGCATTGTTAGATATCACCAGTTCGTTCAAGGTCCCCGACATGTTCCCGAGGCTGGGAGGCACGCAGCCTCGGAACCGGTTGTTCGCCAGCACCACCACCGAAGCCGGGGAGTTCCCCAGGTTCGGAGGCAGTTCTGAAGCGAATCTGTTGTTGTTGACGAATATGGCATCGAATCGCCTCTCGAACAGCTCTTCCGGGAGTGTGCCCTCAAACTCGTTGAATCTCAGGTCTAGGTATTTCAAATTCGGCAATTGAAGGACAATCTCCGGGAATTTCCCGGCAAATCTGTTGTTACTCAGATCTAACTCGAAGAGAAGTTTCAAATCTGAGAAACTCCAGGGGAGTTTCCCGCAGAAGCGGTTGGAGTTGATATGGAACAGAGTGAGGTCGTACAGCAGACCTAACTCATGGGGCAGCGTTCCTGCAACATCGCCATGGTTGATATCGATTCCGGCGACCGTCATCTCCGACGGATCGTCGGGAGCCGGCCAACAGAAGACACCGGTATAGTTGCACACATCCGCTCCAATCCAGTTGCCGGTTATGTTTTGCGGGTCGGAAATGATGGCTTCTTTCCAAGCTTGAAGCGCGATGTAGGCATTCTTCAACCGGTGATTGTCGTTGTCGAATTTTAGGGTTGGATCCACGGCGAGAGCATCTCCGTTGTAGGAGGAAACCGCCTGTCCCTCATCGAACCCGCGGCGATCACTTGATGCGGAAACATCAAAGAGAATGAGAAATACGGAAAGGAAGATCAGTGGTATAATGCTGCGGCTACTTTTCTTCATGGCTCACACGCTAATGACCATTAGATCTGATAATGCAAAACTGTTCTTCCCTTAGCTAATCTTGGGGCCTTTTGTTTCTTGGGGAAAGGGATTCTTCTGTAATTTGTGAAGGAAGAACAGATCAACAGAGTTCTAGCAGGGGTGGAAGTATGACCGGAAGGAACCTTTTCTGTTATTTTCTACTTTAGCTTATGTTTTTCATGCTGTAATTTTTTTGGTCAATAGTCGTTCAGTTGAGAATTAAGATGAAAACCAGCCCTTTTACCCGTTCTCTCTCGCAATTAGCGGCTATGTTGAGTGGGACTCTCACCCGAAAAGAAAGTTTGGTATGAATATTGGAAAATTTCTTGTTCAATCTGTTATGGTTATATATTTAGATGTAGTTTGGTAATAATGTTTTTCATCAACCATTTTTCATCAAATACATAATTTTTTCTTTTGCATGCTGAAATGTGTAATTACAAGAAAAGGTAAGGTTAAAGTTAATTTTTGATTGTATTGACTGAAGTTACTGTATATGATCAATTTAGCTATTTTTATAATTTTTTCTTTATTTTAGTAATAAAATATATTTTCATTTTTTTCTCTTTGAATCAGCAGAACCAGCCAATGCAGTCACTTCATCCAGAACTTCATAAGTTTCAGCAGAATCAGCCAAATCAGCTGATTTTCGTGTTACCAAACGTGCTCTGAGGCCGTTTGGTAACACTGTTTTTCGGCTTATCAGACTCATCAACCAACTTTTTCACCAAACACATAATTTTTGCTTTCGCGCGCTGAATTGTATAATAATAAGAAAAAATAAGGTTGAAGTTATTTTTCTGACTATATCGGTTGATGTTATTGTAGATAACTATTTTAGCTATTTTTACATATAATTTTTTATTTTATTTATTAATAAAATACTACGTATATTTTAAAAATAATTTTTTCTTAAATCAGCAGAATCAGCCAATGCAGCTACTTCAGTCAGAACTTCATAAATTTTCGCGTTACCAAACACTCTTTTTATAAACAACTAGCACACACATAACATTCTAAAGTATTATTCCTAAAGTTTCTTGGATAAATAATGTTATCTGATTTTTCAGTTTGTATATTTTTAAAATATACGGAGTACTACGTATTTAGCATGTTGCTCTTTCTAAAATGAATTGCATGAAAATATCGCACATTTTTATCTACAATGAAGTTAGGGTCGACTTTTGGGAGTGAATGAACGACAGTTTTGGTTCATCCCTGCTCTCCATATGGATCTGGTTATGATAACATAGACTTACGTAGTATACCAACTTGTTAAAGAGGTTCTAGGCAATGTGTAAATTATATCGTATTGCCGGTTTTACCGTGCACACAGTATTGGGGGCTTTTAGTTGCTTACTTCCATCTCAGGTTCGCACTTCGCATTTCGCTTGAAATTCGTCTGCCCACCGCCATACACAGATGACTACTTGTCACTCGCAAACCTCCAAAACGAGCGCAGCACCTCAAACTCTGACTTGCGCAGAGACGGCGGTTCTGCCGGGTGTAATCTCCGACGCTAGTTGCCTCTCCCCCATCTCTCTTTCTTTGCACTCATTTCCTTTGACGATTTGGTTGCTTGTTGGTCGCAAGTTAGAAGAAACTTAAGTTATACGAAGTACATAGTTATACACAAATGAAAATTTGAGTATAGTAGACATTTTAAATGAGCTTTATGATTTTTTCGATGCCCATTTCATAATTTATGTATGCTAATTTGATATAGATGTAATTAGTGGTGTACTCGGGCCAGGTGGCCCGACCCGGAAACGGCTCGGTACTGTTAGACCCGGCCCGAGCTGCTGGCCCGGCCAGGGACTGGTCCAGGTAGGCCCAGCCCGGAGGGTTTTCCGGCGCGAGCTCGGGTCAGGAAAATAAGGAACCGGCCCAGCCGGGCCCGGTTCGGGCCATATTTTTTTTTTCAATTTTTTTTGAATTCCAGGGTTGGGCTGGGTATTTTGGGCCATTTGGGGTGGTTTGGGGGGTTGGGGGTGAGGGGGGGGGGGGGTCGGGGGTTAAGTAGAAAAAGGACAAAAAAATAGAATTTTGCCCGAGGCCCGACCCGGTTCCGGGGGTAACCCGGGCCGGTTCCGGGCCTACCTCTCAATTTCTAAAGCCCGACCGGGCCTAGGCCCGACCCGGCCCGGGTCCATCACTGGGTGTAATATCCATTTTAAAATGTCATTCATGCATGATAAAAAAATGTCATATTCATGCATATTTCAAAAGTATAATATTACTTTAAATTCACATATTGAATTGATACGAGTTCATTGTAGATGTTTTAAAAAATACTGTAGAAAAAGAAAGTGAATTATAAAATATGAAGCTAATATCACGATGCTCATTATTAGATTCTCAATACTCAGTAGAATAAATATGATTCTTATTAATGTGCATAAATGTTCATTTAGCGGAAGTCACGAATCCCGCTAGGCACACAAGGGTGTGAAACTCAATGAAGTGAGTTTCAGCCATGATTACTCCAGGCTCCCTCAGCCCCCTCCCCCAGACCCCCCTGGAGTAAAAAAAAAAAAAAAAAAAAAAAAAAAAAAAAGCGGAAGTCACGAATTCCACCTAAGGGCTTACCCATCCATTTGCACGGTACAAGTGAGCCACAACTGATTGAACTGACCCTATTTTGGAGGAGCTGGAGTGCTGGACTGGTATTTTGGAGGAGCCAGACAGGCATAAGGCAAGGTACCTTTAATATGGCCCACTGGCTTGACTTTCAAGGAAGTAAGCGGACGGTCCCAGATCGAAACAGGGCCATGTCCACCCCTATGTATAATACATGGTATTCAGTTATTCACCAAAAGATGCAAGGTTAAAATTTGTTCAAAACTACATCTTTTCTGAATACACTTCAAGAAATACACCTTAGCAGTATGATATTCAAGTCTTGGCAAACCCATAATTATATACGGAGTAGTTTTGTATAGCAGGCCATTATATGACTCCTGAAAATGATGACTTAATATCTGAAGCATTTTATATTATGTGGAAAGATTTAAAGTGAAGCTCTGTTGTGCACTTTATGAAGAGACTTATACTTCTTATCACGACTTCTGTAATGCACGCATTGCCAATTTAAGAACTCCATAGCAAGTCCAGAACAAAAAGGTAGGCCTGATGGCATGAATATGTTCAGGGAAGAAAGAAAAAAAGAGTAAACAGCATGAAAGACCCAAAAAGATTCAAGCTGATAGCCCAGTTTGTCTATGTATCAGCATGACATTGAAGAAAACAGTCCCAAAAGATCAAACCATATAGGCATATAAAGGAACCTATTGTACATGCCACATGGTATCATCCTCAATGCTGATAGCTCTGGGTCATAAAATATTGGGTTTTATAAGGAATGATAAAGATTAGTATCATTCCTGAAACAATTATAATACGGAGTAATAAGACAGCATCAGACAAATTTCCAATTCTAGCCGCAATGTCTTTAAATGCGTAAAAAATAGTTCAAGCTACAAAAGAAAAATTTAGTGCCTTTCAATACTCTTGAAGCAACACAAGAGTTTCCTGAATGGATGAAATTTCATTAAGAAGTTTGTCCTGTGACAAAAGAGATGACTATCTTCCTCTACTCATAACTTTCTATTTTACTGACCGGCTTGAGGGGTTCCCCAGAAAATAAAACTAGATCAAAATCATTGCATCAAAAAGATCTTCAATTAATTATATTATTGGAAAATTAAATATGAACTATTTGGTATCAATGTGGAAAAGTAAAATTAAACTCCATGGAAAATCATTTCTATTGTTTAATGAGTTAAAAGGTATTCAAATTCCAGGCAAACAAACACACAACAGGCTATATAAGTACTCAAATTTCCAAACAAAAAGCCTTCAAGTAGAAATGCATAAATAGAACTACTTAAAGTCAACCATCATGGGGAAATGTTGGAATTTTTTTGTAGTGCAACGACATGCTGAAGTTGAGGACCTTATTTCCAAAGCTTTCAACATTTTTTCATGATATAAGTTTGGCTTTTGTTGTCTAGATTTTTTATTTTAATATGCTTCACAATCGTACAATACAAGCTGTTTCACGATTTGACAAAAATCTCCACTCATTCATTCATTCTTCAACAATTCTGGAGCAATGTTTTCCTAATATCATGTGTAGAAACCTTGAATGTCTGAGAACGGATAAACAGAGAGAGTATGAGCTAACAAGCAGTGCTAGCAATATGAAAGTACATGCTGGAATCTGCACTATCAATCAGGGAAATTGGGAAACAATAAAAAAGTCGAAAAGCATACAGCATCAGTTGATCTCTTCACTATTCAGCATGTTTAGAACAGCATAAGCAGCTTTCTGAAAATCCGTTTTCTGTTCTTCTAAGCTTCTCTTCCTCTCAAGAGCAGTGTCTTTGCACTTTTCTATCTCTTCTGCTATTTCAGTGGAGCTCTGGTCAATTTCCCTGTAGGAGGTCCACAAGAAGATAGTCAATTAGCCTGGGAATTTTTAAGAAATGGCTAATTCATGAAAAGTGAAGAAAAAAGTAACTTACATTTAAAAAATAAGGAGGAATTGGACTTTGCACCCCACTATTTCATCCAAATTTGAGTTTGCATCACATTTTTTAAATAATTAATGATTGCACCCCAAAAATGCAGTTTACACCCCATTTCTCCTCTGAATTGAAGTTTCCCTATTTTTAACAGATTTGTCATGCTGTGGTTGCAAATGTCAATGATTTCAAACATTGGACGCAAACTGAAGTTTGGATGAAAAGTGGGATGCACATTTCAGTTCCACCGATAGGAAAAACACTATCAGGACTGGAGAAAGACAATTACACACAACCATAAACAATATCTAGAGAATGTGAATGACTAAATAAAATGATGCTCTACTGAGATACAGTACATGAGTACAGCATATGTAGTACCACTGAGGTTAACTTTTAAACCCATTATTTTAAATCATACTGAGTTCCTAACAATTAGAACCAATGTTAATAGTGGATGCAGCTCACTTTATCATCTTCACCATGTTCTCCACTACAACTTGCACTTGTTGTGACAGATCTGCATACCATAGAAATACCCTTTTCAAACAGATAGAACTGAAAAAGTACTATGCTATTAAAAGGCTGCATGCATTGAGTATCTGATATCAGTAATCTCTACTTTTAATTGATCTATAGGGAATGCAAAACATTCAACCAAGATGTCAAAGTGAGGAGTGATGAACTATGGATTTTTGCAATAGTGAAGTGCCATGTGACGAGAGCAACAAATAATAGGAGTATTCTCAAAATAAGTTAATAACCAGCACAACTTCCTCAACGTTGGCACGTGCTTAGCCCATCAATGGCACACAGTAAGTCTACAGAATATTCGCTAACACAGTTTTCCTATCCTCTTAATTACTTGAAAAAGCAGATGTGATCAGAGTGCAATGGTGAAGTGCCAAAAATTTAAAACATATCACTTTTTTACACGTCTAAAATGGACACTAAATTTCCAGATGAGAAATTCTTTAAACTTGTGATTAGCTGATTAGCATGGGATCTAAACTCTCAGATGAGGGAATATGCACTCTGAGCAAGTTGTGTACAAGACATTCAACCGGTTGCACAAAATTTATTAATATACCAGGCTAAAGTTTAATACACCGATACACGTGCAGCAGACAGATGAATAGATGATAATTAAATAGACATAATTTCGGAATTAATTATAACTAACTAGTTATTTAATAATGAGGTAGCTAAAAATGTTACGAAAACACATAAAATCCACTGATAAAATGTGATTAATACAATATCAAAGCTCACTTGCGAACACCCTCGCTTAAACTGAAAACGCAATGGAGAAGTGTAATAGATTAACAGGTGAACTTCCCAAAAAACTACAAAGAGGTTTTGAAATTCGTGCGTTCAATACATATACACTTCAACTGAAACCATCAACGGTGGTACTCTGATAAGCTTATACCCAATTCCCAAACCAGTTAATGCGTGAAATGAGCTGACGGTATACACATGCATAGTGCGAGGGAGGGAGAGACTAGAGAGGGTACCGGAGACGATAGAAGTGAGCTGAGAATCGATATCGGATGTCGGAGCCATTAAAGCGTCCGGCTGATTCCGTGATTGCGACACAACTTTAGCAGCATCCATTGAGTGAAGGAGACAAGCACCACGACTGGTAGACCAGAATGAGAAATCAAAAGAAATTGGACTGGAAAGTCTGAAATTCCATTTTTATTTTATTTTAAATGTTTATAGTTATACTCGTCCACGGTCCACCACAAGTTTTTTCCATTTTCAATCCTGGACTCAGTGACATTTTTGATAATCCACTTTCAATTTTTCAATTTTTAATCTTTGACTATTTTGCGAGAGACATTTTTAGTCATCGACTTCGATATTTTTTGCATTTAGTCCTTTGATAATTATAAAAGTGACATTTTTAGTTCTTTCACTATGAATTTGACACAATAATGGATGACTAAAAATGTCACTATTATAATAGTTGAAGGACCGAAAATGTCACTTTTATGAAAGTCGAAGAACTAAATGTGGAAATTTTCAAAGACGGATAACAAAAGTGTTCGTCGCATAATAGTCGAAGGACTTAAAGTGGAAAAATTCAAAGTTTAGTACCAAAAGTGTCAGTGACAAATTAGCTCGATGATTAAAAGTCACACAAACTCTCCACCACACCACCATTAAGACTAGCTTAGTAAATGAATGATGTTTTTGTATTTTACAATTGTCAAATTTTGTTCTTCAACTCTTCAAGGGATGCAAAAATAAAATATAAAAGGGAAATTTGTGTAAATATTACTAAAAGATAAAGGTTTTCTCAAAATATGACCAAAAAACTCATGCATGTGTCGTATGACTAAATTAAGCATCGCAAGGCATGCTCCAATTAATACGCCCAGAGGTAAATTCCTTTGATGCCCTCTATAGTTTGGTCACTAAATAGAAAATGAAGTTTTCTTAAGACGGAAAGTAGCTATTTTTAGGAAACGGTTTGAATGCATTACCTCCTGCCAAAAGCTATTGATCTTCCCAAAAATGTCAAAGAGACAATCATCACCGGAAAGTTAACCTCTTACAAATAAAAGGACGACAATGGAAGCAAAGGATAGTGCTTAACAAGACTGATGTGGATCGTAAAAATACTTCGTACCAAAGAACATTTGACATGATGAGGAATTACATGCATGTAGTTTTGTTGGTCTACGCAACTGAGTACAGTAAGTTGCCTTGAGTAAACCAGGACAGTAAACTAGGACAGTAAGTACTTGAAATTTCGGAGGGCATTAAACTAGGGCATTATTTTAATATGGAATTTCGGACAATGAATCTCAAATTCCATGAGTTGGAGATAGGACAGTAAATCTAGTAATTTGGTAAAGTTTTAGTTGGGCAGTGAAGTTAAAGAACATGAAAAAAGGAGTAATTGCTTTAAATAGGACTAAACATGTTTGTGGCTACTTTGTGTATTCCAAAAATAGGGCTATTATATTTTTATTCTCTAAATACAGTTTTTTACCGAAATATTACTAAACAATAACTTATTTACATCAATATAACTATTCATTACTAGAATGTAGTGTTGTTGTGGTAACTTAAGTTCAAAATTTGAACATGAATTACTGTGATTTCATTACTACTCTAGTAACTAATCATATTCTTGTAAACCATCTTTATTTTAGTCATATTGATGTAATTATTTCCTCTAAATATGAGTAATTACTGTCATGTGTTGACAATACCATATTTTAAACTCGACAGTATATTTCAAGTTTGACGGTTATTACTCATATTTAGAAAATAAAAACATGACAGTCCTATTTTAAAATTTTCAAACATTCTTACTCATATTTTGAAAATTTTCCCGAAAAAATGTCATACGAAAAGTAAAAATAAATTAATGGTTTAAAGATGTCGTAGTACAAAGATTAGTCATGGACAGTGCAATGGTTAAAAGGACAGTAATATGAGGGTGAATATAAAATTTGGACATTAAAAAGTGTGCAATAATTTTATGTATCACTACAGTACATATATGGATCATATGGTAACAAATTAATGCTACGTACACTTTAAATAAGGGGAAGTAATTATTGAAGTCAGGATAATATTTAAATGGGAACAAAGTAACGGATCAGAAATGGTGATTCTGGAAAGAAGAAAGGGACGTTTCAAAAACATAAAATATAAATGATGAAAACGGTTATCATATAAATTACCTCCGGTTCACATTCTTTTTTACACTTTCCTTTTTTGTTAGTATCACATTCTTCTTTACACTTTCTTATTTGTCTTATTTGACAAACAAATCTACATAAAACAGTGTCAAACAGTGTCAAACAGTGTCAAACAATGTCCAAACAGTGCCGAACAGTGTACTCTACAGTAAAGTCAAAATTATTTTCTTAAGAGCATCTCCATTCATGCTCTCTAAATAAGCGATTTTTTTATTACACATCATTGCTACGTCACATTTATTCAATAAATTTTAAATAATCTCAAAGGTTAAAACTCTTCTTCAACAATATTACTCAAATAATCAGTTTTTTCTGGACATGCGGCATTAAATGTAATTTAACTACAATCTGAAATAATCTGGGATTGGAATCTTGATACCGGATTTTCTTTTTCAATAATCTCACTAAATAATCTCTCACTCACAATGACAATCTTTAAAATAATCTTACACATCATCGAAATGATCTTGAAATAAACTCATGGATGGGGATGTCCTAAAACTTGTGAAGTCAAAGTGTCAAGGAGATTATGAACAGGAGGGAGTAATAAATATGTGCAGTATACAATGTCATGTTTATCACATGATTCACATCCGAGAAATCAGGATAAAACGTGCGATTTTAATTCATTGAATGTTTGAGGGTACATTAAAAAAGTTAATAAATGACCATGCATAGCGTGGATGCATCAAAATAGGAATATGTATGAAGTTTTAGTCTTACAGGAGTTAATTTTCTCAATATAAAAACTGAATTCTAAGGTGCAAAGATGGATTGATGATTTTTTTATGAATGGATGACTTTATATAGACTAAAGAATGACATCTTTTAGTCTATTCGAGCCCAACAATTAGGAATGGGAAGACATATGTGATCAGATCATATGGAAGGTAAAAATTTCCCATTAAAAATAGGTTGCACGTCTCATTGTTTTGTGCAGGATCCGACCAAAACGTTGCCAGTTGCAAGCCAAACCGGCGCCGGTTCTTCTTCGGCGTTGTAATAATGCATATCATAAAGGTAACCGGCGCCGGTTTGCTCTCGGCTTTTGAACATAGGAAATAAAAATGCAATTGACGCCTATTCTAAGGCCTAACCGATACCATTTCTCCTCTGTGTAATTTTGAATTTTTAGCTCTGTTTTGACACCCTAAAGTGCTGTTTTTGGTCCCCCTTTGACTGTGGACTCACGTTTTTTCATTCTTGACCGCCTTTGCGTGTTTTTGCTCAAATTGAGTTTTTTTTCCTGTTTTCTCTTTGAATATTTGTATTGATAATTATAATAACATATATAAAATATAGGTAACTATAGTGGTTATTAGCACACGGTAGAGATAACTAATGCATATCACAACTTTCAAATACATAAATTATAACTATAAGAATATGATATTTAAATATGAAATTAGCTTTATCTGATGGTTTGATATTTGCGGCAATGTATCATTTATGCTATACTCCTTCTGTCCCTGAAAAAACTTCCCGCTTTCCTTATTTGGATGCCCCTAAATAACTTTTCATTTCCTTAAATGGCAAGTTATCTACATCAAAACAGTGTCAAACAATGCAAAACAGAGTATATTTTATTAGTTGAGCTATGCAATAGTTATTTCTATAGTATACAATCATCATCATCAACATCATCATTATTATTATGTACCACAAATGTGAGTATTATTTAAATTTATTTACCTTTTTCATTTAATAGTTTTTTTCACTACACTGACAAAAATAATACTACCTCCGTCCCATATTAAACTTCCAATTGCGGGTTACGAAGTTTGACCAGCGATAAAGTTAAATGATCCCTATGAAAATTCAGATTATTTTTAGTAAATAAAATTTACATATTCAGAAACTACATTAAACCCGCTACAAAGCCTGCAAAAAATAATTCAATTTTTATAAAATTTTGATATATAAAGTAGGAGTTTAAGTGTGATTTGAGTTGACTCTCGAAAAGCGAAATGGAAGTTTATTTAGGGACGGAGGGAGTATATAATTCTAGATAGGCTAAAGGGTCAAATAGACTCTCGAACTAACTTAAAAAGTGCAATTCACCCCTTATAGAGGAGGCTCTATCCGGCCGTCTCCAATTGGGGAGGTTTCTGGTGAAATTTTTTGATGAATTTTTTTGAGCATCTTCTTCATTAAGTCTAGTTTACCCATACCAAATTTCATATAAAAATTCAACCAGGAAAACAGTCGAATGATTTTTTGAAATGCACTGCGCTGTTTAACTGCGCAGTTAAACATAGTCAAAATTCTAAAATAGGACCTTAAGTTTATTATTCCCGTAATAAGACTTCATATTACATTTTTGCCCTTATATGATTAAATATACCCAGCTCACTCTTTTCCGGATTACATTCCTTAGCCGATTGAATATCGTTCCTCCACCTGTGATTGTAGGGGTGGACCCGGGGCGGGCCAGGCCGGTTCCGGTTCGGGCCTGGGCCCGGCCGGACTTTTTTTTGGGAAAGGGGGAACCGGAACCGGCCCGGGTAGGTGGTAGTTCCGGGTCGGGCCGGGCCACCCGGCGGTTACCGGGCCTGATCGGGCCGATTTCGGGCTGAAATTTAATTTTGTTGTTGTTCAATGAATTCAAGATTGATAGATATAAAAAAGTTCAAGTATATTTATTTGAAATAAGAAAACAGTTAGATTTGAGAATGGAGAAAAATTTAATAAATGAAATAAATTTCTAATAAATAATCAATCGGAATCTCCACCTTCGGTTGTTTCCTCCATAAAGTGGCAGGTGGGGGCGATGCTCAATTCTTGAGTTCTACATTGGGCCTTCAACCAATCGTGGAAGCAAACAAGCGTCTCAAGAGAGTTTGGGCTCAATTTCATTCTATAATCCGTTAGGACGTTAGCGGCCGCACTAAATTCTTGTTCCATGACAACTGTTGATATCGGCATTGCTAGCACTTGCTTAGCCATCTTTCGTTATATTCTTTAAAAGCAAGACTTTAAGAAAAAATATAAGGTAATTTTTTTTCAACAATTAAATGAGACATACCAGTCAAATGTTTTTTATCATCATAGGAGAAATTACCAAATGGTTGGACATTTGCAAACCTCGATATTTGTGTTTGTTTCCCATTGCCTTTGTCTATTTTCGCATACTCCACAGTGTGCGCGGCCTTAAGATGCCTTTTGAGGTTCCTGTATCCGCCAGAAGTTGCCAAGTTATACTCTTTTTTGCAATGATTGCAACTTGCGTACCATTTCTCGGTTTTTTTGTCTTCCCTCTTTGTAAAATTATTTTCTATAATAGGAGATTTAGATTTCTTACCAATTTGGGACGAACCACCCTCGTCCTCCAACTCTTCCTCATCATCATCCACAGTGTCGTGACTACCATCGCCCCCCTCGTCGTCCTCCGCATCCTCATCCCCGAGCTCTTCTACATCAATGGTCGTCGTGATTGTCGGAATGTCTTGTTGTTGGAAAAAGCGTCCATCATTTTGGGACAATAGGTTTTGTAGTTACTCGTCGGACATCGCCATTCCATCTCTCCTTTGGTAATCTGTTTCAAAATCATCTCGACTTTGAGAAGAAGACCCGACCCGCACTTTACTTTTGCCTTTGCGTGAACTTGGATGAGTCGTCACTGTCTCCTTCTTTCGTTTGCGTTGGAGATTACCCATATTTATCTACCACGATCCATCTTTGTAACAAATATCAAATGGTATCAAATAAAGGGGCGGATGCACATATACTATAGTGGGGGTAAGTGCCCCAATAAGCTTGAAGTATTATTGCTTAAAATATCACTAGTTTAGTCATAGTTAATTAAATGCCCCCAATTAAAAAGTAGTGTGCCCCCAATAAAAAGTAGTACGGCCCTAATAGAAAAATGATTGAGCATTAAAAATCTATTGAACAATAAAAAAATTAAGCCTTATTATAATTTATTGATCGAGCATTGATAAAAGTGATTGTACTAATGATATTTCTCTTAAATCATGAGAGATAGATAGAAGATTATGCTTATATTTACACAGCAATACCAACATTCAATTGATTGTTTCAATACCAACATTCAATACTAACATGACTCCTTTTGTTTGGGTCATGCTCTCTTTTTCTCTCATATCTGCCTCTTCTCCCCATCTCTTAACTTGTCTAAGGGAGTGTTTCCAACTGCTTTTGCTTTAAAAAAACACTTTTTGAAGGGATTTTGGAAAAAGTGATTAATAGTAAAAATTGATAGTGTTTGGGAAAAAATGATTTTGAAAAATAAAAGTTGATAGCGTTTGATAAAATATGTGTTTTTTGTGTATTAATAAAAGTAAAAAACAGTTTTAAGCCAAAAGTCGAGAAACGTTTTTTTAAGTAGAAGTTGTCACTTGAAAACACTAATTTTAACCTTTTAAAGTCAAAAGCCTAGAAGCTCTTTTTTAAACGTTTGCAAACAGACCCTAAAAGATGCATTATTTGATTTTCTAAGAGAAAAAGAAACTACACCATTTATTTTTTATTAGGGAAAACTGTCAAAAAAGTCCACGTACTTTTAACAAAAAGTCAATTGAGTCTATGAACTTTTTTTTGAGTCAATCAGGTCTATGTACTGTCAAAAAATGACCAAATCAGTAATTCAATAGGTTGTCAACCGGTTGTCCGGTTGACCGCCTACGTGTACATCCATCTGGCATTTTTTACTATTTTCTTTTTTTTCTCTCTTCCTTTTTTTTCTCTTTTTTCTCTTTCTTCTTTCTCTTTCTCTTTTCTTCTTGGTCCGCTCATCCTCTGGTCTGCACTCATCTCTTCCCTCCTTGCAACTACAGATCTGGTCCGGTAGAGAAGGCCTGGTCGTTGGAGATTGACAGATCGTTCTATGGAATAGGCGGAGGTAGAGACCGTGGAGGTGGAAGCCGGGGGCCGTGGGTCCGGTGGTAATGGTGACGGCTATGCAAGCCGACGCGGCTGGAGGTCGATTCAAGGGGAAGGACGGAGGAGGGGAAGGCGGATGGTGGTGGCTAGAGAGGCCGGGGCGGCGGAGTTTTTCCGGTGGGAGTATTGGAGGAGTGGTTCCGGTGGTATTTTTTCCGGTGGGAGTTTTTCCCGTGGGAGTATTGGAGGAGTGGTTCCGGTGGGATTTTTTCCGGTGGGAGTTTTTCCCGTGGGAGTATTGGAGGAGTTTTTCCGGTGGGAGGATTGGAGGGTTATTGGTGCGACTAGACAGAAAGAAAATGAAGAAGGAAGATCGAGCAGGAGAAGAAGGAAGAGAAGAGTTGGAGCTGCGAAGGAGAAGAGGTGCGACTGAGAAGAGGTGGGGAGTTGCCGACCAAGAAGAAAGAAGAGAGGAAAAAAAGAGAAAGAGGGAAGAGAAAAGGGGAAAAAGAAACAAAACTAAAAAAAACAGTAACAAAATGCCACGTGGGACATCCACGTCGGTGGTTAACCGGTTGACTACCGACTAAAAATCTTATTTGGTCGTTTTTTGATAGTTTGTGGACTTGATTGACTCAATAAAAAAGTAGATGGACTTATTTGACACTTTCCCCCTTTTTATTATCAACTATTCACGTAATTGTGTAAAATAAATTACGTAGTATTGTTTGATAGATAATGTGACTAAAAGACTAACAAATAAAAAAATATCAAGCTTTTATAACATCTAATACGCACATTACCTTTAAGAACTATAGCAGTACATTATGAAATTCATTAAGCAAGTACTATCAATGCCGGTTTCAACAGTTGCCGTGAAACAAGAATTTAGTTCGGCCGGCAACGTCCTAACTAAATCGAGAACGTGTTTGAATGCCGAATCTCTTGAGACGCTTATATGCTACCACGATTGGTTGAAGGCAAGACGTAGAACTCAAGAAGTTAGCATCACCCTCTCCCAAGACTTTATGGATGAATCAACCGAGGGTGGTTCTACCTATGCCGGAGATTCCGATTGATTAGTATTTTACAATTTATTATTTTATCCTCAATTCTCTATTGTAATTTGTCAACTTGTAGATTTGTAGTTCATATTTCAAATCAATATACATTATATTTTTTTATATGTCACAATTCTCAAATTAATCAAGTTACAACTTACAACTTAGAAAGTTAGAAACTTACAATTAATTATATTATATTATTATTACTTATTACAAAATGTATTAGAACTAATTGTTCTCAATTCTCAAATGTAATTCCTATTTCACATAAATGCACTTGAAGATTGTTTTATAATATCCAAAAAGATGTATATTTTAACATTAAAAAAAAACAGGCCCGACCCGACCCGACGGTTCACCCGACCCGGGGCCCGGCCGGGTCACCTGGCCCGAACCGGCACCTGTCTACTAGCGGCCCGGGCCCGGGCCCAACTTCTACAAACCGAGGCCCGGCCGGTTCGAGGCCCGAACCGGACCGAGTCCTGCCCTAACAGTACCAAACATTAATTGACATGGATTTGACGTGAATTTTTAAAAGAAATTTGTCATAATACATAGGAGATATGGCACGAGTTGGCACATATGCATCAAATTCGTGCGCCGAATTCCGTGTCAATACCGTTATTTTTTGTAATGTAAGTAATATATAGAGTAGTATTCACTCCAAATTGTGATTATCACTTAATAATTTTTAACTTTTGCCCCCAATAAGAAAATATCTTGGATCCACCACTGATATTCAAATATTTTAATATGAGTACAATAGTAATAATAAAATGTGACTAATAAAATTATAGCAAATTTCCAAGTACTTTAATAAAATAACAAGTCTATTTAATTTATATAATGTGAGTAATGAAATTCTAACTAACAATTTTTTTTCTTCAAAAAAATAATTCGAACTACTTTATTTTATACTTTAATGAGAAATATAACAATTAACAAATTAAGTAATATGGAAATGATAAATCTAACAATTAACTATTTTTTGTAAGTATTGAGAAAGGTAGCAATTAACTAGTTTAATTCTTCAACAATTAAACGAGATAAGTAGTAATTAACTAATAGGAAAATGAGAAATGTAACAATTAACAAATTTTATACTTTAATGAGAAATGTAACAATTAACTAATTAACTAATAGGAAAATGAAAAATGTAACAATTAACAAGTTTTATACTTTAATGAGAAATGTAACAATTAACTAATCAACTAATAGTTAATTGATTTTGGAAACGTGGAATATATCAAGCTATTTACAACAACATCCCAGCCTTATCCCCAAAATATTTTGGGATCGGCTAACATGAATCAAGCCACGATATCAAGCCATTTACGATCATATTTTATTTTGCACCTAATACAAAAGCTTACATAAAAAAACAACTAGCCTGGTATACCAAGTGGTTTCATGGTATTGGCGAACTAGTTAGATATTACACAGAAAAGCTCTAAAATCTCAAAAGAAGCCACATTCGACACAAGCTCAGTAGTGGGTGGCAGGGTTAATATCCGTTCACTCAGGCTCAGCACTAGTCAAAGTACACATGATCCAATCAGTTGCCATTTTGAGTAAACGTTGACAATCTTGGCATAATACCTCCTACATGTACTGAGCCAGCCATTGTTTGCACATATCAAGAACGGGAAGTGCATTAGCATGTAAAGCCTGCATAAAAAAGACCATTCTAAACGTGAGTCAATGAAAGGATTGTCTACCTCAGATTAGGGTCCTGTAAAACAGTTTCGTGGCAAATTGTCAGAGACCCAGATTTAAATTACTGAGGCATGAGATGAAATGAACCTGATGTGCAACGTACTGAACATCAGCCACACTTCCACTTCTAGAGGCAATTTGGAATGCACTCTTAAGACGACCACAAACAACACAGGCAAGTACCTTTCTGCAAAAACAAAGCTAAACTGTGAGAAATGACTGACAGGGTAGTTGAAAGTTAATATTAATTAAATGAGGAGACACCATTGTGAGTCAAAGTATCTACAATTATATTAAAGAACTCTAAGACGATTCCAAAAATTTAAGTTGGAAAGTTCCATAGCCATTCAAAGAAAGTCCCAATAAACTTTAATATATTACTAAACCACAAGATGCAGCTATTGGTTAAAAAACATACCCAGATGGGACTATGGCATATACAAACTGCGAAGTAGAAAAACTCGACTCCAAGCCTAGTAATTTCAAGAACACTTCTAAACCACAGAAAATAACAAATCAAGAAACGATGTGTTATTAAGTTTCAGAATTCAGTATCCGTTTGATAGGGATACTAGTTTTTCTAATTCTTAATTTCATCTAATACTCCTTCTGTCCCATTTTGGTTGTCCTACTTTCCTTTTTGGGTTGTCCCAAAATGAATGTCTTCTTTCCTTTTTTGGCAAGAAATATGTGGTCTTTATCATTTTACTTTATTCTACTCAAATCTCAACCACAACTTTTACTTTTCAACCACTTTATTAATAACCGTGCCAAATTGAAAGTGGACAACCATTATGGGACGGAGGTAGTACTAGTTAAAGTGGCAACTGTTCCATACCTATATACAGTTTGTATTTTTACTTTAGATTTGAGTAGTCTTACACTACGTATTATAGTGTGGTTTGGGTTGACTGTTATGCTTGCAACAGATCAAGAAGATGCTATAGAATCAAGCTGATTCTGATTTCTCCCCTGATGATACAGATGCTATTTGAAGTGGTGAGCAGCAATTGGCGTCACAGGCAGTTCACTTCTTGTACTATTCTTTTTAACCAGGAACCAGATACTTATCGGACTTATCGCCATATCAAGGAGTAAGGACTTGAAGAAGGATCCCATAATATTTTTCCCACTTCATAAATATGAATATCAAAGTATTTATTTAAGCAAGAGATATTGTTAAAATGCTTCGAGTGCATAACTATTGTATTGTTGTTCATTGAATTTTGATAACAATATAATTTTGAATGATAATTTTCAAAATATGTCAAATTTGTGTGTTTGGCATATTTGATATTTAGTAGCACACATGCATTACATCACTCCCACTATTTCCCTTAAATTGTAGGCCAAAGGGTTCACTGTGAGCAACCAAAAGAATGCAACATACTTCCAGGAAGAAACTCAGAGTATACATAAATTGGTACCTGTGGCTGCTAGTCAACATGTCTATAAGGCGGTCAGGCCGCTCCTTGTGTTTGTTTGCATAAACATTGATTGCAGCTCCTAAAACCTACAATTTTGAAATGCAATAGAACATAAACTCAATAATGATTTAATAGCATGAAATAAGGAAATGACAAAATTAATATCTCAATCGCTCAAATAGGTAGTTACTAAATTATATATATTGTTTACTTCTAAGATGGATGCATGGGACTGCAAGAGTCACATTGCGTATGTAATGGCCAGGGAAAAAGTTAGTCATACTCTAAAATATCCATATAGCCAACCCAAACTAGACTAAGATAATGATTAAGGACCCAGTTAAGCTTCTTTGATTCTTTTTTGGAGGGTTAGCCCTGAGACTAGGTACAGATGCCACCCCCTCCATTTGCACTAGATTTTGACTATTAGTACAATTGGCGTTAAAAAAGCTTCTTCCATTCTGCAGTAGTGGATAACTTTTTCAAGTAACCACATAAGTTCTCTTAAATTCATCCAAGCAAAGTCAAATCCAAGATTATTCACACCTTATTCCTAATTTTTAAGATCACAAATTGTGTTTAATCATTTTAATGGTTTCCGTACCCGTTGTTTCCTATATAGTTATACCCCAACCTTTTTGCTCCTTATTTGTTTCATCCCCAACCAAATGCTTCAAATAACAGCAACTCTCTTAAAAAAACTTCAGTTCATTGCCCCAGGCTCTTTGTTCACATAATTTTTCAAGAGTCAAACTCATACAGAGTTTTCTACAAAAATGATTTTTCTTTTTTAAGAAGTAAGAGCATCATAAACAGTCTAAATATAACATGTGATACCGTCGTATAGGTAAATGTAGTTTTCTGGTAACATTACCAACTATGAAAAGTTAAAGATGGAATAAAAACATTGAATGGTACCTCATCCCAATCATCATCAACTATTATTCCTTTAATGTTTCTAAAGAATTCTGTTAACTGCCCTCCCTTCTTCCTCTCAGCAAGTGATGCAGCAACTCCAGCATAAATGTCAACAGCTAAAACAATATATTGGTAAAAAAGTTCAGCATAATTGACCGGGTATCTTCAATCCGTTCCATAATCATAGTAGGAAGGGGAGATGGAAAAGTGGTGTTGGTTCCCTTGCTTGCAGTAACGGACCCAGAACAATTTTCAAGGGGGCGTGGATGAATGTGGGTCGAGTGTGATTCGGTTCAAGTCTTATCAATATAAGTGTTCATAATGAAGAATTTCAACCAAAATATGTCTAAGTAGTGCTGGTTCCGGTCATGTACATTTCTGATTCTAGGTTCGACAAATTGTTCATTTGGAGAATTTTAAACATTAACAATTATTCCCTCCGTCCCGTTGGAAGGTTCCCGTGAGTAAATGGCACGATATTTTAGGCAGGTGGTTAAATAAAGTAATTTGGGTAAAAACAGAGGAAAGAGAAAATTTAGAAAAAGTAAACATATAAAGTGCAAGTAATTAAAGT